TCCTTTTTTTTTTTTTTCAAGCTCATGGATCAATTTGGAACTTATTCGAGTTCGATGGCTTAATTGCTATTCCTCAAATAGTTCAACGATCTATTTGTGCCTTTTCCCAAAATATTATTAGAATGAGAGAATCTAAAAATGTGAAAACTATGAGATAAACCTGTAAGAGAAAAAAAAAAAAGAAAGTATTTTATCTTATGAAATATTACTATTTTTCCCCCTTTTGGGTAGGTTATGAACAAATGATTTTTTATTCACATATCAGTAAGCGAACATTATAAGGAAAATTTATGATGTGAAAGTAACAAATTTTTTTTCTAGGATACAATTACTTGTTTTCTTTTATGGTAAGCAAAAGTTTTTTTTTTTTTTTTTTAAAGAAGTACATATTCAGAAAATAAGAAATACCATTAAAAAAAAAAAAAACTTTTGTACCAAAACTTTGTAAATTATTGATACAAATTTGTGACACTATGCAGAAAATTTGGAGCCTCAAAATGTACTGTTTTACAAATTTCGGAAATAAAGTTCAGAGCCAATAATAGTTTGGAACCCCAAATGGGTGGCTAAGTAGAGAGTGTGATTCTCATACTAAAAGGTTATGACTTTGATTATTGCCAATACTTTCTTGACTTAACACGTTGTATATGGTCTTTCTAATGCAATTTAGCTCTTCTGTGTAATTTGCTGCATATCATTAAATAGTGGCTATGAACAACACAGAGAGGCACTAGTTAGCCATTTGCGAACAAGTTATTTACCATTAGAATTTGTAATGAAATGCATGTCACTATCCGCATATTTAAGCTTGGGTTGGGCCTTTCTGGGCTACATTATATTGATCCTATTAACACCTAATTATATGTAGGTTTTGGGCTTAATAGGCCGTTTCCGGCCCAATGGTAAACCACGTTTTCTTGATAAAGAGTTTCTGTTTTCTTTTCTATTTTTTTGGTACCGACAATTGACAAATATAATCGGAATCAAAATCAATATATATATATATATATATATATATATATATATATATATATATATATATAGTTTATATTGTATTTCATTGAATTTACGATGAAGAAATGAATGAAATCAAGCATTTTGGGCAAACAAGGCTTGATTTGAATTCTATATCGAGTCCCGTTAATTGTACAATTTTACAAAATGAAACGAAACCGAGCCTTTTGGTTATAAATGACTTGATTCAAACTCGTTCGGTATTAAACCACGACCAACTTGTTACACGAAGAAGGAGACTAAAATCAAATGATGTCATAAGTACTAGGATTACGATCAAACTAACGATATCTTTGCATTATATATATGTTATGTTTATCCAGATTAATGTTATATGGGGAATTGGCTGGGAATGTCGGGCATGCCGATGGAGAGTGGAAGTGGTTAGGATGTGATGGCGACTTGGCCTGCCCATCGAGTTTGGATGAAGCAGCATTTGCACTGCCGCATGTTTTGAATTTTAGTATGTATGTAAAATCCATGATGCCGCTCCACTCACCCAATGCAATCCTAACTTCTGCTGTACTTAACGTTGTGGTTTTACACTTTTAATTGCGACCTAATGGGGAATACTACTTCTACTCTTAAAATTTTATATATTTGCTTAAGTGGCTTAGCGTATAATAGTGATTCGTCACCTGATTTGATATCAGGACTGAAGTCGACAGTGTGAGATTCAATTACATTTAATGAAAAACGATCCAGAAACTAGGATTTGATCAGTACCACAGTTCAGTTCTGGTTCTGATTTGAACCTTTTTTAAAAAATTATAAATTTTCTATTTTTAAAATAATCTAAATTTAACATATATTTTTTTGAAACTTTTTCATTCTAATTTTTAAAATGATTATATCAAATATTTAAACTTTAAAGTTAAACTAAAAATAAAAATAATTATTATACTTTTAAAACTTTAATCTAATAATAGTTAAACTTTAAATTTTTATTATTTTAGATTCCTGATATTACGAAACTAGAATCGTTCCTGAAATTCTGATTATGATTCGGTTCGAACCAAACCGAGAATATCTAGCTATGATCTCCATCCAATTGGGTCAGGCTTTCTAGGGCGTGCCTTTGGCATTTGTCTCGAAGCTAGCGTATTGAAGATAAGTGGGTGTTTTGCACATTAGAGAAGTCTATATAGTGTTGTAGCTAATTTTCGGGGTCTTTATTTCCCCCTATTTTTAAAAGAAAAAATAAAAAAATAGAATGGATTATTATTAAATTTTTTTTCCTTTGGGATATATACAGGACGAAAGAGTAATTAACTAACACAAAAAATATGTGCTTGTGTCATACTTTTGGCTTGCTTGGGATAACGTAGGACCAACCACTTGGTGTTTGCATACGTGGAGTTGTCTGCTATATATATGGGTGTACTATTTTAATTTGGTGAGATTTAATATTCTTTTTTCTTTTTTCACTCATTATATTCATGCATGTGATATACCAAAGCCATTGCTTTTCTCAAACTTTTATATCTCTTTTCTTCACTTCACTTATTGTCGGCCTCCATCACCATCCTTTCAAGATAAAGAGCAAACTTGCTTGTCGATCTCATCCATTCCGAATACAGAATAAGTTAATGGCATTGCATGAATCACCTATTTGGGCATGTTTTTTTAGGGTTAGACTCTGAGTTACCTCAGAGCGTTAGATAGTTGGTAATATACCAAATGAATATAAGAGAGTTCTATTCAAGAAGAAGATGATGTCTAAATGAAGACATGACAACAATTTATAAGTGTAGCGAATTTATTTTTTGCGAAATATCATCAAGTGCGACCATGCAATCACCACCACAAATCAAGGACTACATGTTGCCGCTACACCATATGTTACACTTTTAATTGTTGCTTGTTGCATGTTTGCAATTCTCATGGGAAGCATGGTTCTTATATATGGGGAAAGATGAGAACCCGCGCCCTAGAAGAAAATTGATTGAGACTCATCATAACCATCAATCTAAGAAGATCAACTTAAGGACTCTAAAGTAAGGAAAAAAGGGGAAAAAAGAATGTAATAATAACATTTTGATAAATATTTAACTACATAGTGCATTAATTATATGGTAGTATCTGTTACTTTCTCAACCTACTGAAGTACAAAAAGTCAAAGTCTCAACACGGAGGTTTGAATCTGAGACATCTCATTTGAGAAATCATAGCTATGCTGCTCAAGTATAAGACCTTTGCCAAGCAATGAGTGTATATGTATACAAAATTCATATCTTTTATATTTTTAAGGAATTTGAATCCACTCTAATAGTCTAACCTGCAGATTCATTTCATGATAATAATAAACATGAGAAGGAAGATTAATGGAATAATATTAAAAGTCATATTATTATAATTATTATATTATAATGAGACAAAACATAACAAAATTTTATGAGGTTATAATATGATAGAATGAAAATATACTTGATCCTATGTATGTATCGCAACTCTATAAAATCAACACATAATGATGATGGTAATTGTGAAAATTAAGATCAAAGAGGAAAAGCATGCATGCAGCTTCTAAGAAAGTTAGCTTAGCTTATTAGCTCATATATATACATGTTAATCAAATAATAATATTAATTAGTAAATGTAATCGTCCATAACTTGCCTTTTGTGATATGATGCATTGTATCCGTCTGGATGGGTTAGCTGCGATCTGATCTTCCATTGAGATTAGAAAAGGATAACCTTAAAACGATTCTAAGGATTATATTATATTGTTTTAATTATAAAAATGGTGGAAAGCTATGATTAGTGCCGCATAGGAAGTCCAATTCCACTTTATTTTGATGATGACGTTTTTTTTTTTTTTTTTAATTGATCGAATTAATTAGTGAAGATTATATATACTCAAATCATCATTCCATCACGCCTAGCTACCCATTCTACCATATTCTTCCACGCCTTCATTCTACATTTTTAGACTCTACAATTCTAGATGCCCTAAAGCTATATATGCTATTTCCCTTACCTTTTTCATTTTTTAATTAAAAAAAAAAAGCACACATAAGGCTTACATTATTGGGGGAAATTGTGGCCCAATCGTATGTAGATTGCAAGGATTATAAAATAGATACACTAAAAAAAAATCAAATTTATTAATCAAGAATAGGTAAATTATTGAAATTCGTATGTACTTAATTTATCAAAGGATTTTCATAAATAAAATGCTGAAATCTATAGGTACTTAAGCTCTGTAACTATTTAATCTATTGATAAATATGTTAGTATTTTGTTTTTTGTTTTTTTTTTTGTTTTGTTTTTTTTTTTTAAAAAAAAAAAAACTCAAAAAAGTATTTTGTTACTTCCCATGTCTCATTTTATCTGTCCTACTTATTATTCATTTGCCAAATCAACTATTTTTTCTTTGCTTATTTTTATTAGCATTTTTTTATAATTTTTAATTTTTTTTTGTGTTTAAGAGTGTTTTTAATGTAATTTTTAAATATATAAATTTTATATACAAATTCTAATTAAACTTAATATTATGAAAAATTAAATTGTAAATAATGATCGATCATTGTTTAATTATAATTATACTATTATTATGATAATTATTAACTTAATTATCATAATAACTATTAGATTTTATATAGTAATAGCTTCAGATGTACTTTGGCATGAAGTTTTAAAAGTAGGAATTTGTTTTTGTTAATAGTATAGATGAGAAAAGGGATGGAATTACATTATAAAAAGGAGAATATTTAGGAGGAATTAAACTAATGTATGCATGCGCCATACATACACATTATTATTCGCGATGATTAAGGTAGTTTAATCAAGGAGAGGAATTAAGGTGGTGGTGGATGGACCACCTGATTATATTCTTCTGTCCTAATCTATTAGTCATGGCTTGATGTATAATTAATTCATCAAATCCAACTTAAGATGGCTCACTTCAATGATGCAAGAATATGAATAAAATAATATATTGACTAATGAGAAGTGTACATGTATTGAAATGGGGTGAATTAGTTGTTTGGGTCAGTACACTAATAAAATGGGAAAGGAAAAATCTTGGAAAAAATGGCATATATGGATTTTGTAGGGTCCATTTTTGTGCTTGAAAATTTGGGTTCATTTAACGTAGACAACTATATCAAACTAGATTCAATATTAACTTTGGAACTTGCAAGGAATTTTCTAACAAAATTTGGAATTTAAAATTTTTTCCAAACTCAAAACGATTCAGTAAGTTAAAAATTAATTCGCTTTCTTCCGATTGTACAACATTATATTTGAAAAAATAGAATTTATTAGAATAAATTACGTTTGGGGCCAACTCGGTTAAAGTATGGTAGTCTTTGTTTTGTTGTTTCCATTTGATACGGGTCAATCTCACCAAAAAAAAAAAAAAAAACATAGTTTTTTTAAAACAAATTTGCATTGCTAGAGTTTTTGTAACGTTAAAGCGTTTGTTTCTCAGTACACAGAAATTTTAGCTTTACATATTTAATCCAGTAGAAAGTATACGTAATGTTGAGATGGCCGAGTTGGTCTAAGGCGCCAGATTAAGGTTCTGGTCCGAAAGGGCGTGGGTTCAAATCCCACTCTCAACATGAACAATTGTTTTTGTCCGCCGCGGCGGCATTTGGGACAGTAATTGCTCTCTTTTAAAAATTGAAGTATATTGTGTCTTTTTCTTGATGAGTAAAAGACATAATTATAATTGAATTGATTTTTTTTTTTTGAAGACCATGAATTATGAAGTGGGCACTATAAAATCTCATATAAGCTGTAAGTTTCCTGATCAAAGTTGTATTATATGTATTTTTATTTTACTCATCATTACTTGATAATGTGTTTATTAATTATTATTAATAATTATTATTGGTGATATGAAAAATAATAATAATTGTAGTGAACACACTTAGGGTGTGTTTGGTTCGCACATGAGAATCGGAATGAGTATCAAATATTTGGTAATGGTAATGAGTTTTAGTGAAAATACTTTACATGTTTGGTAATAGGGTGAAATGAGAATGATTATCAATAATGCTGTTTGATTATGTATGATCCTATAATGGGAATAAGGATTTAAAAAATACAACACAAAATCAAGACAATTGATTCTAATATAAAGACATCCAAAACACTAATATGAACAAAAAAAAAAAAAAAAAATCTAGAATCACTAATCAAAAAGGGATGAGAAGGAATAAGGGAACGAAATGGGATAATACCCTTATTTTATTTCACTGCTGAAAATTATGAAATTTCTGACCACCTGAAAGTGATCTTAAATCAAGTCGAAAGCCTTGTTCCGACCACTTTTGATATCCGGAAAAATCTTTGTTGTTATTTCCGGTCACTTTTTACTTTCGACTTGGTTTAAGATCACTTTCATGTGGTCATAAATTCTATAATTTCCAGCAGTGTTTGGGTATGAAATTTTTAATTAAGGATGTATTTAAAATCTATAGTAATATTTTAAAAACCTATCAATCAAACAATATAACTTTGATACTCATTCCTTAGAGTTAAACATGTCAATCAAATACACCCTTATATGTTAATCTCATCACATGCAACTTTGTAAAGTTTAAAAAAAAAAAAAAAAAAAAAAAAAAAAAGTAAGTTGATGGCTTGATGGGTCCTATATATAAATAGTCATGATTCCAATAAAGAAAAAAGTAAATAATAATTAAATAGGACTGCAACTTGTTACTGCACTATATGTATGTTCATATATAGAACACGTGGAAAATATTTCGCTTCTACAAAAAGAAGTTACCAACTATCAAGCAAGCCATCTGTAAGCAGCCAACCAAGTTCCATGAATGAATGCCAAACAAAAAAAGGGCACTTGAGAGTAGAGAGCACCAAGTTTGAAGACACAAGAAAAAGAATATTATAGGGCCACATGTATATATATAGTAGTAATAGATATAGCTTAATTGCATTCTTACTTTTATAATGTAGTGTTTGGAGAAGGAAAGCAAATTGTGAACCAATTAACTTAGACATGTAAAATGTAAGCCGGCTTAGTTAATTGTTTGAGTAAATAGAAATTGGAGCACACACCACCTAACCAATTCATCAAGACAACTAATCAGAAAATGTCATGTCAACCCCTTATAAAGTACTATCATCAAAACATATGTCGTTATTTGAGATGCAATATAACCTCACATGTTGGACCATTTTACATATCATACATCTCATCACAACTACTCTTTATATTGTGTATTATAAAGTTGACCGAGTTATCTAATCTGTAAATCTTGAGTGTATTCAAATCTTAACATGTCTACTTTATAATTATACCCAAATTTCACAATAAAATTTTCTCTCCGGCCACCCTCTCCATGCAGCGTAAACATAGATACCTACATCCAATCTAATTTACAATATCAATCATGATCATAATTTATGATTTAAAGGTTAGAAATTGAACCTAGAACCTGCTATAAAACACTACTAAGAATGAAAAGGCAGGGAGGGGCTCAAAATCATGAAGAATAAGCAGTCCTCATGTAATGTTTTCCAAGTCAGTACATATCAAGAATTAGTGGGAACAAGAAGCACTAGAAATTTAATTGATGGATTGGAAAGGAGGGCGGGGATAGATAGATAGATAGATAGATAGATAGATGAATAGGCAAAAAACAAGAGAATGGTGTTAATGGATGGGAGAAGAATGATGATCACCATCATGCATAATATAAGTGAGTGTGATGGGACTAGCAACCTTTTGAATTTTATTCCATACATGCATTCATACATATAGGGGCCATGGCGGTACTACTATAATAATGACCTGATAGAGCATCTGTAATGATATAAATCATGGTGTGACTTAGCAGACAAGTTAAATATCAGTATGTATAAAAAATCTATTCACATTGGTATAATCACCACATTGTTACTGTCGAAATTTAAATCTTAATGTCTTCTCTCAAATACTGCGAACTATTGTGCTAAACCCGTATTTACTACTAATTAATGCGCCATGTGTAACTACCAATAAACTCCTGTTCCCAAACAGAACAAAACCATTTCCCATCATTACTTTGCTCCTTTTCAAATCCTCTCCTTGATTTGACTCGCATATCACGAGTTGCCTCCCCTCACTGCCCCCCCCCCCCCCCCCCCCCCCCTACTTTGCATCAGAATCAGCCTTTGCCGTCTGATCATTTCCTGTCTCGATTGCCAAATCTTTGATGATGAAGATGCCACCGGGGAGATCGTTAGTTCACTGTGGAGTATCATAGTATCGGGTTCCAGATTCTCCCTCTACGCCAAAATTAAGCTTCAAACTTAATTGAGAAACTAAAACTCAATTTTAATCCTAATTTATCGAGACACATCTTACAATTTACTTCATTCATATATATAGTCTTAAGAATGAGTCGGTGTGACTTATGTGACCAGATAGGAAGGGATCAAAGAGAAAACAAAGGAGTCTCGATCACCAAAAAATTTCAATTATACTTAACGGGTTTTCACAAAGATATCAACGGCTCTATTATGCTCTCATATCATTTTGCTGGATCCTCTAAATCAACTAGTTGAAGTGACAATTGGCCATTTAAGTTTGTTAGCTGCTCCATCGTGGTCGTTCAACCATTTAATCAAGAAAGCAGATTGTATAGCCTCCATACCATTCTGTCCAAAGACAAATATTAAAGTAAACCTTTTCAAAAGATAATAGATCATTTAATGAACTAGGTAAAAACTATTAATGCATATATATCCATCTACATCAGTAATATCAATTTTGTATCCATATTTATTAATAATTAATTAATTATTTATTTGTGAATTGATTACCAGTTAATCAAATTAATGTTATAATTTTTTTTTTAAATGAAAGACTGATAATATTATTAAATCAAATGTGCAATACAATCAGAAATTGAATAAATCCAAATAGAAGGACCAGTGTTTGAAAAAATAATACAATAATCATTAGAGATTAATTTTCAAGGCAGTTTAACACTAAAACTGCTAAATTAGACAATAGTACAATGATTAACTAGTCTTTCGCTGACTTGTGATAATAAAGGCCGTAAGTCCAAAGCTCAGGCATGCTAGAGGGTTAAGAAAGTCAATATTAGTACACGCGCGGACGTGGACTGCCGGAGGCTTTGCCAAGCGGTCCACAGTATATATGTATTCAAGAAGACACGTGGCAGTGAGAAGCTACGGTATTATATTATACAGAGTAATTCTTAAATAAAAAATTATGTGAAACCGTCTCTGATCGATCAATATAAAAATGTAATACTTATAACATAAATGTAATTCTAATTATAAATAAAAATTTTATTACTTTTATAAAAAAAAATGTAATATTTTTGAGAGAAAATTGTAATACTTTTACATTTTTATTTAAAAAAGTATTACATTTTCATTATAAGAAACAAACACTTGCCAACATTACTTATTAAGAAAAATGTAATATTTGTTATGGGAAATATAATACTTTTGAGCATATAAGTATGACATTTTCACGTTGATCTGAAACGACCCGACTCGTTTCAAGGATAAGAATTTGTGAGACAGTCTTCATCACCCAATTACCTATCCTTGCTTTTACACTATGTCAATAAGGTGTCTTCATCACTTCTGATCGATCAAAGTTTATCTATATGACTCTTCAAGTTTCAAATGGGATACAAACCTCTACATTATTGCTAGAGTAAAATTTTATAATGATTAAACGAACTAGCTGAGCTACTCTTAAACCTGAGGTGTGATTTAGTAGAATGAACTCATTCATTTTTACTAAATATCAATAAAAAGTTAAAAACAGTCTTAAATTTTTAAATTAATTGTCTCACTATTAAAAATTCATACAAATTTAATGAAAGAATTAATCACTTTACCTGACGATAAAAATTTTAAATTATACCTAAAAAATTGAGTTAGCCTCGCGAGGCACGACAACTTTTCTTAATATCTATCCAAACCAGAAAATGAGACCGGCCGACCACATACTCCAAACAACCCAACCGCGCACATGTTCCCGGTTCGCTTTCACTCATGATTCAACTTTCCGGGTCAAACTTAGCTAACTCCACACTTTACTGCTTCAACCGCGCTTTCTCCTTTCGGCGCCCAATTACCTTAGTACCCTCAAACTATGCCTCAATTAATCATAATTGGTAATACTTTCTGCCACCCTCAAATTCCTATAATTAATTATGACTTAATACCCAAAATCGTCCTCGACTATAGTTTTTTTTATCAATTTCATCCTAAACAACTTTGGTGACCTAATATCGTCCCAGACTTTTGTGTTTCGCTCAATTTAGTCCTAGACTTTTGTGTTTTTGCTCAATTTAGTCCCTCATTTGTTATTCTGTCCATTTGGTGTTAAATAAATAGACAATTCAGTAATTTTAATATTGGCATCTCTTTACTCATAGACATGTGAACTGCGAGATCCCTTCTTTTTTTTTTTTTTTACGAATTACTCCCAGAATTACTCCTAAAACTGCGAATATAAATTTTGGTTTGCAGGTCCGGGAGTAATTCTGGGTGTAATTCGTACAAGAAAGAGAAATTTCGCACTTCACAAGTTGAAAGTAAAGAGAGATCAATATTAACATTACTGAATTGTCCCTTTATTTAACACTAATTTGACGAAATAACAAATGGAGGACTAAATTGAGCGAAACACAAAAGTCTGGGACGATATTAGGTCACCAAAGTCGTTTAGGACGAAATTGAGAAAAACCACTATAGTCGAGGACGATTTTGGGTATTAACTCAATTAATTATAGCATTATTACTTAGTTGAAACTTGAAAACATTGTACACGGTACACAAGAATCGTACATTTAGCCAAAAAAATAACATAACCAATGAGAGAAGTTTCTAAGTATGGAAAGGAATCTTGTAGGACGATGGGCCTTACAATTCTAAATCATTTACTTTTTGTTGCAAATTAAATGTTAATCAACATTTTATTATAAATTTCTATTGGGTCAAAGTCCTATAAATTAATCAATTGCATGTTAATTAGTATTGCCAACCTAACAAATACAATTTAATTTGTGATAATTTTATGGCTATTGGTCTCATAAACACACATAATAGCTTCATCATTTATGCCTATTGTTCTCATAAACACACATAATAGCTCCATTGTGTGAAGATTTTACTAAATCTATCACATTATATTGCACTTAAATAAGGGAATTTTGAAAAATAAAATAAAATTTGACAAGCCAACCTGTGAGTACTAATGGTGTGGTTGGTTCATGGGTTTAGCTATTATGAATGAGAATAAAAGTCATTGTTAATCTTTTGTTAAGAACACTATTATGCGATTTGATTACCCCTTAATTAGAAAACTCATTCCCTAATAAAATAAGGGTTTCATTCCATTATCCCCCTCCTAATTAATAATTTGATTTTTAAGTTTAGATTAATGCTTTTAGATTTTTGGTTTTATATTTTATTTTTTGTTCATATTAATGCTTTGGATGTCTTTATATTAGAATAAATATTCTTGATTTTTTGTTCTTGTATTTTTAAAACTTTTATTCCCATTAAAGATCATACATAACCAAACAACAATATTGGTAATCATTCCAATTCTACCATACTACCAAACATGCAAAATACTTTCACCAAAACTCATTACCATTACCAAGCATTTGATTACCATTACCATCACCAAAACTCATCCCTTGCATGTGTGAACCAAACACACCCTAAGAAATAATGAGCCACCATAATTTACATCATCTCAAATGCTCTATCGAGCCGGAGTGTGGGGGGTCTTTGAGTTGTTGTTCCATCCTTATCATATAAATATCTCTACAAATCATCACTGTAATAATTTTATATAAAAGTACATTATTTTGTGACAACAAACAATGCAATTGCCATGTTTGGTAAATGGTTGTTAGCTGATAGCTGATTGGGTTAATTAGAGGGTATAACTAGTTGATAACATTAACTGATTATAGGAAGGTGTTTGATAAATTAGATGTTAGTTGTTAGCTGTTCGGTATAATTTCTTTTCTCAAAAAGCTAATTGAAAAAGTCTCTTTGATCAGCTTTTTGAATTTTAGCATTTTGAAGTTAATTTTTTAACCAAGTCAAACGATTAATAGTGGTCAAATAAACTAAAATTAGCTTATAGGCTAATATTTTACCAAACAAGGCCAATATATTTTATTTTAATAGTTAAACATTTATCATATGTATTTAATTTTTTTATTTTGTTTTTGAATGAACTCTCAAAATTTTGTTATTAGACTATATGACCGTTGACATAATTAATAATTGGGTATGTAAGCTACGTGCCAACATTCACATCAATTTGGAAAACTTATTAATCATAAATTAGATGATATGGCAATGGAAAATAAAATTAATTTTGTGAACAAGAAATGACAGAATTCCAAGGTCTATAGTGTAGTCTAGGGGCCTTAAGATAGTATGTTTGCTTTGTAGATTCATCAATACTGAAGAATGACAACATCCACACGTGAACAATACATGCAACCAAATTTTAGTCGTCCATTTGACTAATTTGGCAAAACGTAGGTTTGAATTTCAAAGGATGGTTGTAACGTAACTTGGATTTTTACGATTATTATTTTTGTTTTCAACAAAATTAGTAAGGTAATTAGGTTTTTAACCTGTGTCTTTTTGACGCATTAACAGTTGAGTGTTGTTTAGGGTAGTGTATGTTCGACTTTGAGGAAACAACAAAACCTACTAATTAGACTTGTAATTATCAAATCAACAACTTGATCAAATTGATTAGAATTACCTCCAATATTTGTGTGTATACGGTATAGCATTTGGTATTTATATTACTCTAAAACTAATTCAAATATGATAAAGTAGATTTTGAATATTATTTAAAAAAAAATTGAAAATATTTGATTTTTTTATTCGGTCCAAAATCTTTTAATATTGTGCAATTTATTATCAATAAGGCAAAATGGTGAAAGAAAAAGGAGCATTATTGTGCTTTCCATGACATATAGGCACGGTTTGGTAACATAATTAGCTTATCAATTAATTTTGACTTATTTTATTACTATTAATTGTTTGACTTGGTTAAACAATCAATATGAGTGTTTGATTAATTAGCTTTTGTAACAACTTATTGTTAAAAAAATGTTAAAATTCTAAAAGCTATTCAAATTAACTCTTTCGATCCGCTTTTTGAGAAAGTTATTTTGCATGTAATAAACTATCAACTAACCACTAATTTACCATACACTTTTCTACAATCAGCTAATGCAATCAACTAGTCAAACCCACTAACTTAATCAGCTAACAACTATTTACCAAACGCCCTCATAATTGATGTACTGTACACTAGTCGACCGACCAATTCAAAATAAGTTAATAGTTTTACTTTACAAGTCATTATAAACATAAGGTTCTGACTGATTGACTCAGTTATAGAGATAAAATCATAATCGATCAATTCAAAATAAGTTAATAACTACTTGGTTGCGGTTGTAGGGGTAGGGTTGGATTGTAATTGTTTTGTAACACAGAGAAATAAATTGGGGTGTGGCTTAAACCCTGGGCGGAGAAAAGGAGGAAACAGACAAAATCAAGGGATCTGCCCTGCATGTCTTTATTGCACGGCTCCTTCCCAGCAATGGATGGATCATGCAATTCCAAGTCCACTCTTCTCTCTCCCTCTCTCTATCTCACAACACTCTTCGCTTCTCTCTCTAAACATCATTCGGGCATATCCCATAAACAATAGCAGCCTCTGCATTTCTTTCAACTTTACAATTCATTAATAGGTAGGAGGAATTTCATTCATACAAGCCACCACTATTCACAGGGGGGGCAGTGTTTGGGGGAGTGTGTTTGTGTGGTGATATTATTTATATATATATATATATATATATATATAATATATAATAAGATAAAAGTAGGTGAGTAGGCGTCGTGGCAGTCTATAATATAGGGGTATACACTCTTTTCTTTCTCTCACACAATTCAGAAAAAGAGCATTGCTTTTTTTCTTTAGAAAGAGAGAGACACAGACAGAGAGGTGTGGGTTGCGTGCGATTTGAAGCAATTCCGTTTGGACATCCTTCGACTGAGCGGGAATCTCCTCTGCTTCTATACTCTTTCTTCTTTTTCGCTTCCTTATATTTTACTCCCCCCACATTTACTGCCTCTATCCCATGCACCCAATGCTCCAACACTCCCTCTGCAACTCCCTACAAAGAGACAGCCCGGCAAATTTTCAGTTTATTTGTATATATAGCTAGCTAGCTTTTATATCACACTCCAAGAACCATTACACCACTACCTCTCACTTTCCACGTTTCTTTTGGGGTTCTCTAGTGACCGCTCGTGAGGTTTTTGGGTGGTTTCTTGGTTTTGATAGTCTGGGTTTTAAGTAGCCACGAAAGATTGCTGCTTTTCTTGAGGTTTAAGCATGTGGGTTTCCTTTGCTTTCAGTTTTGGATAGAGTTTTAAGGTAAAAAATTTCATCTTTTTCTTCTTGTTGACTTTACTATATATGATCTCCTTTTCTTTTCTTTTTGCCTTGAAGATAATGCCTTGTTGGTTTCTTTTTTTGCAGCAAGCTAAGGTCTTTGTAGTTCTGGTTGTGTTTATTGAGAGTGGGTATTGTTGAGACAAAAGAGATGGAGGAATATGCAAGAAAGGGTGAAAGGTATGGCGGCGGTTCTGAGGAGGAAAAGCTTGAGCTGAGGCTTGGTCCACCAGATGGAGGGTGGTCCTCCAGAGGAAGGGAGGAGTCTTCTTCACTTCTGAGTTTTGGGTATTTCTCTAATGGTGGGAAGAGAGGGTTTATGGAGTGTGTTAATGGAGGTAGTCAAGCCCCCCACAAATTCTCTTCATTTCTTCAGCTGAGTTCACAGGGCCATATGGGTGTGACTGTGAAGGAATCATCACAGCCTGGTTGCAACAAAGGAGTAGAGGTTCAGAGTTGTTCAGAAAAGAAGGCACCTGCAAATACAACACCCACAGCTGTGCCCAACAACACCTCTCAGAAAAGGTAGCCATCCCCCCAACCTTTTCCTTTTTCTCTTTTCTTTTATTCACTGTTGTTTTTCTTTTGGACAGAGGATATTCACTATTTCACGCTTTGCTACCAGATCATGTCCTCCTGGTGGTCCATGCACTATAGCCTATAGCTTTCTACCTTTTTTTTTTTTTTTTTTTTTTGCCATGGACAATTGATTTCTTGTACTAATTTCTTTATTTTATTTTTCTGATATGTCTACTTTTGTGAAACTATGTGCTTTTCTATGATTGTGAAGGCCTGCTAATGTTGCTCACTTGCTCCTTTACTTTTGTACATACTTACCAGTTCATTAATTACTCCTTCCTTTACATTATTTTGGGATAAAAACTATAACTTTCATCATTAATCCCTTTCCCCAACACTTCCCTTTCATGGTTATGCAATTTGTTACTTTTCATGCCTATTCTTGAGCCCACCAAAGTCTAAATTCCCTCACCCCGAGCCCCACAAGAAGCCCATCACGTTAGGTGTAACTCTCACACTGGGACTGTCAGGACTCGGTTTTGTGTCTTTACCCACACCCCATGCCTATTCTGTGTATATATGTTGTTGTGCATATTGATTGCAACATTTGAGAACTATCTCTATTATATGCCATACCTTTGAAAAATTGTGATTAAGCTTGAGTTAATATAAGATTTACCATCTCAATATGCAATCTTGTGAGTTTGGTTAGTCCAAGAATCATATGGATCTAAGTGCTGACTTGTGTTGTATGTTGATGTAACATTTGAAACAAAAGGACTGCTGCTGCTCCAGTTGTGGGGTGGCCTCCACTGCGTTCGTTTAGGAAGAATCTTGCGAGTAGCAGCAGCTCTCAGAAGCCAGTTTCTGAGGCGCAAAATGTGGTCCCAAACAAGGCTTCCAGTGAAAAACCCATGGAAAGTAACCCGAAAGGCTTGTTTGTTAAGATCAACATGGATGGGGTTCCCATTGGAAGGAAAGTGGACCTTAAAGCCTATGACAGCTATGACAAGCTTTCCTCCGCTGTTGATGAACTGTTTAGAGGACTTCTTGCAGGTTCTTTAACCGTTGTCTGGATAATAACTAACTAGTTGATGTTTAAGGTTGCTATGGTTAACGAATAACGACTATGTTATTCTAAAGTGTTTTTTTCTTCTTTGTTGTGTTATAGCGCAAAATGAACCTTGTGCTGGTGGAAAATGGAACAAGGAAGACGGGGAGAAAGCCATTACTGGGCTTCTGGATGGGAGCGGGGAATATACTCTTGTTTATGAGGATAATGAAGGGGACAGGATGCTTGTTGGGGATGTCCCTTGGCAGTAAGAATCTGATGCTCTCTTCTTTTTAATTCCCCACATCTGATCCTAAATCTTTAAAGAGATGATGATCTCTTATCTTTGATTAATTCTCCTCTTAGTCTGCATTACACGAATATGATTCTCCAGATTCCATCGACTTTTACAGATAGTTAAAGATTTTGTTTGTGTGCTTGGCAGCATGTTCGTGTCTGCTGTGAAGAGGCTGCGGGTGTTGAAAAGCTCTGAACTTTCCACGCTAAGATGTGAGCCCGACTTCTCTTAGTGTCTCAATGTTTTGGGTTCGAATATGGATGGTTCTCTTGCTATAATCAGTGTTGTTTTCAGGTGGGAAGCAGGTGAAGCTTTGAGGTTTAGGAAGATGAAGCAGCAGCCATTTGTTTCTGCAACTCTGACATATTAGAGAGAGCAAAATTGATGGTGTTTGAGCAGAAAGAGATTGTATGTAGATTATTATGACTTTTGGATTTGGGATGATATGATAATTTTCACTTGCCTTTATTATTATTATTATACTTTTGGATTATAGTCTTCTCCCAAAAGTTAGCTGTGTATGAAAAAACAGACAACCAGATGTTTTTACCAGTAAAATTTTCTTTTCTTACCAAGTATTTGTAACTGTTGTTACCTATCTGTGTTGTGTGTTTCTTGATTCATAAACCTGGGAATGAAATCTTGCTCTTTAATTGCATTCATCATTTTCTTTTATGTCAAAACTCTTTTGTCAGAGCATAAAATTTCAAGTCCTCACTGGTACTGCTTGCTAAAAGAAATTAATGCACACATGGTTTTGGAGCCATAGAGACGTGTATAGAGATCGCAATGGGGTGGGTTCGAATTAGGATACATACATCTATCACTCACCCATGCCATAAAGAGCTTCTCCAATATTAAGGCATCACCATCAATGATTTTTGAGAGGTTTTGAGAGAGAATGGTGAGTTCCTCTGCAAGATCATGTTTTTTGTGAGTCCTGCAAGAGAAAGACAAGGTAGAAGGCTACTGCTTTTGTGTGCATTACACTTACATACAACGCTAAGCCGAGCGCGTGTAGTCCATGTCCTGGTTGGCGTGTTAACTGCGATGTTTTTTTTTTTGGCTAACCACATTAGTAGTTTTTCCCAGTTCTTTTTAGGCAAACAAGGCTTATGAGGATGAGAGAGAGGGATGAAAGAGAATTTTTGAAGTCTTCTTGCATACGGTGATTTTTTTGTAGGACCCGTAAGAGAGAGAAAATGAAAGGGAAAGGCGATTGTGCGTGTGTGATGCACAGATCCCACCCGCTGGCACGTCAAAAACCACCCCAAAACTTCACTATTCCTTTCCTAAAAGGTTGAATCCCCAGTCCCAAGGGCCTCCCACATCCCAACCCTCCCAACCCGACAAAGCATTTGGGGATGTAAATCATGGTAACTCAGCTGAACCTTCACCCTTGTGACCAACTGAGCTGCCCATACAGGCAAAAAAAATACCTTACTGTTGAGGTTGCCCTAGGTAGATTTTCTAATGAGGTGGAGGTGGAGGTGGGGGTAGGGGGAGAGAGAGTTTGGATTGATGTACTAGGTGAATTTTTTGTGAGGCCTGCTAACTAATTTTATTTAAAAAGAAAAAAAGAAAAAAAAAAACAGAGCTAGCTGGTGCGTGTTTCTCGCACCAGTTACACCTAACCGCGATCAAGGTGGCCGCCGGTTGCTTTTTTGTTTTTTTGTTTTTCCCTCCTTTTTCATTCCCCTCTTTCCTTGTTGGAGCTACAAAATCCTGAGCAAAAACCAAACTGTTGGGCTTCCTCTAATAGGTGAATGTTTTGAACATCCAACCTCAATTATGTGTCTACATACACTAATATCAATTATATAAATAATATTAACTATTCAAATTGGTCAGATAATTGACTTAAAAACTATAATGTTGTAAATTCGCCTCTTCTTAGAAGCGCTGTTTATTGACCTAAATTAAACACACCCCACTCACTACAGGTGAAAATTTTTCATTCAAAATCAATCGATGCAGGGTAGATGGGAGCATGTACCCAGAGACATGTAAATTATCATCCTAAAAGGCAATGAAAATTCATAAAGATTATCAAGATCTGACCTTTATGAGTGCATCAGCAAGAGACTAAAAGTATGCTGAAAATATATAAAATATGAAGCAAAAGGGCAGTAGCCAACAGTTGAGAGATGAGAGATCAACAACTCAATTCTCAATTTTATTACCCCTAATTGGCTCAGTTATGGGGCAGAACTGGCAATCCATTATGACAAATGATATCCTCAGAATAATTATCCATCCCGAATGAATGTTGTACGGCAAAATCCGCCATGCCGCAATCTCCTAAACTACTACTCAACATAAGAGCAACTTTTGCAGAGAATTGGTCGGAGGCAAAAAGGCGAGATAAGAATCAGACCAAAACTGAAACCAGTGTCTAGCAAACAAGGTTTTTTTTTTTTTAGTTTCGACGGCACTTATTAGGACTTATCTTCGAGATAGAGCGAGTGTGAGGCTGCAAGAAGAGCAGCTCCAATGCCCGAACCATCAACCGAGTGCTCGAACACAATGTGGGCCGCCATTTCCTCGCCAACCAGTTCGTTCAAACTATTCTCCAAGCACTTCCGGTATTCCGTGTAGTGCTCGTACAATCCACCGTCCATAGCTATCACCGTCTTCGAGGACCCACCACTTCTTGCCGTGTCCCTTCCCATCTTCTTCAGGATGCCCAAGATCCCGGCAGCAGCAAGCCGGGCCCCACGTGTCGCGATAACGTTGCACAGTTCAACCACTACTCTCCTTACTTTCAAGGAGGTATTGGGTATCTGAGGAAAAAACACGACACGTATGATATGAAATGCTACAAATAAGATTGTTTTATTGACAATTTTTCATTTCCCATATAATGCATAAACCCGTAATAACCAAAAAGATGTACATTTACAGGGTATACCTCGAGAATATCCTTCAATTTGTCACCGACCACCTTTAAATCAGGGGTTGAATCGTGATGCATAGCTGACATATGAGGTGTCCTGCGTTTATATGCAAGAAAGTATTCAATGCTATTGGCAGAATATAGATAGAGAAGTAACTTAATGCAATAAAATAAAGAAAACAAAACGAATTAAAAACCTAGATAAAGGGGAAGATGGGAGCAAAAGTTCAATAATCGATTTGGCTTAGACTGTACAATTATGAGTAAAATACTCGTTAAAGATACTCAGAATCTTAAGAAATACCTTAATATAAATGGACACTGGAGTTTTGGAGGGACCTCATCGCCAAAAATAGCAGCTTCTTCAGCCATTTTGAGCAAAACTCTACGTAAAATTTCTCCCAAATACATGCCGGAGGTGATCTTTTCAAATATCTGTAACAAAATCGAAATACCATTCACATTCTTTCAACCACAAAGTTTCTGTCAAAAAGGTAGGGATCGAAAAACAATCACACCTGTTCACCGGGATTCAAACTTTCAGCATCCAAGGCATGATCATACTTTGTCAAGGGAAGATGCGATGCCCTAAAATTACCCCACTCCATGTTGATAACCTGTGGTGAAGTGTAAAAGGCATTACTATTTATTTCCTTGGTTTATAAATTATAATAGAAGACAGATAATTTTCTTTAAGCTTACCAAATTGCATATAAATGTAATGAAGAAAGTCAAGAAACAAAAAGATCTATAGTCATAGTAAAATTTCTAACCATCTCTCCAGATTTCGGGAGAGGACCGTGCCACTTTGGAATCGCCTGAGCCCGTTCGACATATGCTGCATTAGTTCCGGTACCCAAGATCACCGCAACAGCTACATCTTTGTTCGTGTATCTACCACCAGCCAATGTTCCGATTGTATCATTGACCTTCAATCACGCATTGATGCATATAGAACTCAACTCAAATTTACACAAGTGCTGAAACAAAACTTAATCTTTTTTTTTTTTTGTCAGACCATGAGGCGTCCTGAGCAGGCCCTAACTGTAGGAGACACCTTTAAGCCCGTACCATACTCAGACTAATCCCCGTTCGCACCGAGCCGGCCCAATTAAGGGGCAAAGTGCTGACCAGATTGGTTTTTCCATATGAGAAGGGGTTCAAACTCCCGACCTCTCTTAAGGGACAATTATGCATGGCCACTCACACCAACCAAGGTGGTTACTTAATCTCTTTGTGTCTTCACTGCCATAGAAAATGAACAATTCAATTCTCGACTACTGATCAAGCAGACTTACCAGAGCTGACACTCGCATATCAACACCTTTTCTCTCCAAGGCCTTCGACAGTTCTGCAACTACATCTTTGCCAACCTATACCATAAATTGAGAGAATCAGTTCTGCATTTCTTTAGACATGAAATGCAAAATTCATTCTAGGAAGAGATAATGCCACTTTGGTCCCTCGACTATAGTGGCATTTCTACATTTAATTTGGTCTTCAACTATCAATTCCACCACTTCTGGTCCATTGACTTTTACAAGTTTACCATATTTTATCCAAAATGTTTGAAATGCCCCCACTTTCACCGAACTTCACCCTTCTTCATATGAAGTCATTTTGAATTGAATTTGGTTGATTTGAAAATATAGCACCAAAAGTGGCAAAACTAATAGTTAACGACTAAAAGTGGTATTAACTCTTATAGGAACAATAGATAACTACTGTTCTAGTTTGTCATCAAAACCACTAAACACATCTGCTATCTACTTATTGTGCTTTACTGGTGACAGGGACACTATCCTCCTAATAATATTTGAACATTAATAAGATGAAAGTATGGATTCGAAAAAAAATTAAAAATTGTATATACTTCTCTACCAATTTTAGTCCCATAAACTAAAACTCAATTGGCAAACAAATAAGTATACTGCATGAAACACAATACCATAGTATAAATCAAACATTTCTAAGGAGAATTATTGTAAAGAATGGAGGTAAAGAAACACAAACAGACAAAAAGGGGTTATCACTGACCATATCATCAATCGAGAAGCCTTTGGTCCACCTGATAAGGTTCCCAGAATTAATTGAAGTCTGCATTACGGGGAACGAAAAGGTGAAACCCAGTTCCCTCTGCCTACCAGGAGGTTGATTAAATTTTTGTTCTTCTTCTGCAACAAAGTTTGCAAGTTTTTCCGCAATATAGTCAAAAAGGGCCTGAAACCATACCAACATCAATAGGTAGCTCAAAGGTCATTTTAGCTATATAACCATAAACAATGTAGAGAAAATAAGCACTTACATCTGCCGTGCCAACCATCAAATTTGGAGGAATAGATGCCTCGGTGAACTCTTGATGTACAATACCACCAGCTTTCCCTCCCAACTGCACCCGCAACACACGAAAATTTGTCCCACCAAGATCCAGGGCATAAAAAACTCCATCTTCATCACTTAGGAGTATAAAAAGAGAGCTTTTAGGGATACTTTTCTTAACCACAGGTTGTTAGTATGCAGACTACTCTAAATATTTAGCACGCTTGATATCAGACTCCATGAGACCTTATACTGAAATTATAAATGTCAGAAACTTAAACCAACAATCTTACTCCTGGAAACAAGAAAACCCCACTAAAAGCCATATAAGAAGAACCATAGCAGCAAAAGTGAAGCCTTTTAGGGAGTAATACATTTCTCTAAAATTTACAACAAACTATGTAGTATATATAAAATGTCTTTGCAATTCCATCTAAAGTGTTCTAAGATTATCAATGATCTAATTCCCAAATCAATTCCTAGGCTCCTAGCTGCACTTGATAATAATGAATCAGAAGACTTTGGAAGTAAAACTCCTAATTTGTCGTTACTGTCATCATTGAGGTAAAGATTGTTTTTTTTTTTCTTCTCCTTTTCAAGTAAATCAACAAGAAACCAGAAGATTTGGGAAGCCTGGAGTCCCAAGAATACACCAACTGAAGGAGTTCTTCCCTAGAAATGAAACTACAAGTAAATATGAGAGAGGAAGAGAGTAGAAAGCTGACCCAGTGGGGAGATTGTCGACATAGCTGATGAGCATCTTGAGCTTGCTGCCGCCCTCGGAGGCGAGTCCGGCGTGCATCTCCACCACCATGGCATCGGCCAACTGCTTGAGCTTGGCATCTGGGGTCCCGCATTTCTCCTCGAATTCGCGGAGAATGGACACGCACCGGGCCCACTTGCTCGATTTCCTCATACGGTGGCGGACCACCAGCGCCGCCACGGCGCACACCGCCGCCGCCCCAACAACCGCAGCCCCGACAGCAGCCTTCCTCATTTTCTCCCCCAAATTTCAGGAAAAAAAAATTGAAAATAAAAATAAAAATGGGATTTTGGAGAGTGGGGTAGAAGCAGAAAGGGGATCCGATCAGAGGATGACGGAAAACGAAAAATGGGCAGAAATTAAAGGAAGGTCGGAGGGGAGCTATTAAGCTTTCTTGAAGAGTGACTTTTTTTAAAAATTATTATTTTTGTAAAGGGGAAGGTGGTGTGGGTACGATGACGAAACACTGAATTTTAAACCATTATATGTGTTGGATACTTTTACAGTATCTTTGTTTTATGTCTTTTTTCCCCCATAATTTAAAAAGATAGAGAGATCACACTACTCCGTAACTAATTTCTATGAATTATCTAAATATTACTCCGTAACTAATTATCTAAATATTACTCTTTTTATTTTTAGAATAAATAGTCAAAAGATAAAGACATTGTTAAAAAAATAAAAAAAAAAAAACTTTTTTTAACAAGAAGAAATATGATATTTCTGTATTTTTTTAATTTTCTCGTACAAATTGATATAATTGATTTTTATTTTTAATATGAGCATAAAAGTAAAATACATTTTTTAAAAATAATTTTCTTTTGTTTTTAAATTTTAAAATATTTAAATATAATACATGAAATAATAGGAATTTTCTTAAATTATTTACCATAATTATATCATAATAATTACTTAATTAGATTTTATAATTTGTGGGTCAAATATGATAATATTGAGTATGATGCTACAGGGTCTACATAAAGTCATAAATATATCTCACGTGCTAATTTGTCAGCATCCATTGGGATCCAAAAATATTTTCCGATAAAGCGTTTGGTTCCATATCCCCGGGAATCGTGACCTTAAATTGTGGACAAATAAATTTCTGATAAAGAATATATTTCGAATTTCTCATTCCCCATGTGCATTAAATATTTTAATTTTATTACTTTTTTTTAGGGAAATTTTAAGTTTACTTAATACTGTATATGTTATCTTACCCAAAAAAACAAAAATTAACAAATTAGTTAATTTACACGCCTAATCACGTGGGCAAGAAAAACTGTTTTATATCAATTTGGAAAAACATTAAATTTAATATATAAAGATATTTTAAATTTGGGAAGGGAATAATAAAATTGGGTAGGACATTAGGTGAGATACAGGTAGGGTGAGTTGGATTTACGTTTATCCAGGAAGTTGGGTGTGTATCTTTGATGATTAGAATGAAACCTAACCAATTTGGTAAAGTTGCAAATTGAGGAATAAGGATAAATTAAACCCAACCCCAAATGCCAAACGTGAGTGTTTTGCAAATTCAGGAATAAGGCACTATGCCAGACCACATAGTACAAATGAAGCTAATATAGGACCCCATCTTGAGAAATAAGACTATAAAATAAGAAACTGAGATATAATGAAAAAAATAAAATTCATTCATTTTGCTAAAGAAATGTTGTTTGGGTACAACAAATTGTAACAAAGTTACAAAGTACAGTATCTATACTATGAACACCATGATGCCACTAAACCCCATCCTCCATAGCACCTCCTCGGTTTCTCCTTTTTCTTCTCTCTTAGATCTTATAAACGGCTCTGCGATGTTTTGCTTTCATCTTCTCCCTGGAAATGACATAAAAAGTAATAATAATGAGCGCGTAAAATATTACTTACTCGAGAATCTTGCTTTCTCTGCGCTTTGAATTTTCTTTCTTTCAGATCATGAGTCTATGATGTACCACTGATGCTGCCGACAACAATATTTTACTTGAAGCGGCTAGTGTTTCTGTCTGCTTTGATATTTCGACCTCTCAGAAGCTGGAATTTCATGAATTGTTCTCATGCCACTGATGTGACTCAACCTGGCTCTAAGAGGGAACCAACACAACACAACCAGCAAACTATGGGATGATGATGAAAATGAGTATGACGTGAAACAGAAAAGGAGAAATTTATAACTCAAATTCAATGCACCTAGTCATGTCAATTAGAGTAGATTCTCTGTCAAGTTGATCCCCTGAAGTTACCAGTCCATCCTAGCACTCAGCTTCAACAAAGAGAAAATCGCAACGGGTTATATAGCCAGAAACTACTGTCTTCTTGCATAGTCACTACTCACAAAGCCCTACAACTCACAGCAACTATTATTATTTATTAGAAGCACACACTGCATACATTTCCTCAGTGGACATCAATTTTTTTTTCTATCTTTTCTCTGAAGCAATTAATGTGGATATGCATAGGAACTGGTAAGTAGACAAACAAAACTATCTTCTTTCTTAAGAACTTATTTCCTATTTTATTTGAACTGATGTTTTTCTAATAAATTTCTTCAGAAAGAGGATATGAAGTGTGAGTGTAAGGCCATCAAAGAGTGCTTTGAAAGTACCTGTATTGGTCTGATGATGTTCTTCTGTTCATCTTTCTTGGTTCTTGATTGTGTTGCACATTTGCAAAAGAACCAAGATTATTACCTTGGGTGAGCACTGAACGGATATCCAGCTTCCATAAAAGAGGGTTCATGATGTGCCTCCTAACTCTCCTATACAACTAAGACATTAAATGAGACTATACTTGTCTGTTGAGCATGCTGCCTTTCATAGATTGGATACTGATCGTCCAAAATTGAGAATCCATTGAGCCAGACATTCTAGCACTGGGTTTCAGACTTTGTCATGATTTTAATTGATGCCTTAAGAAAGAAGGCTTGAACATCTGTAGCATAGAGAAAACAGCTAGCGACCTCTAAAATCTGCAACATCCTTCTCCATCCAGACACTGATATCAATTACTGAAGACCAAGATGTGATATGGGCAATAGACTTCATGAAAAATAGAAACTTCACCAAGAAGTGAATTCACATTGAAACCTCAAACTTCCAGAATCCCTTTTCAGCCACTAGTGCATGAGTTTTCCACACACATTAGCAAACGCCAAGTTGAAATGAGCCTCTTGTAAATATCCCAGAGGTCTGGTTCATAGTTAGGTACAGTACCACTTAAATCCTGTCATTGCTAATTGCATCAAATCCATTATCCTCGGGGCAGCGAAGGCAACTCTGAATTTTTATGACACCGGTCTTTAAGATAACATAAACTACACATTTGCTAGAGGGTGCCAATATTCCTGCAGAGGCCTCTCTCATGGCATCAATTTATTCCATGCCAGCATACTTGAAATTGCTCTAGAAGCTAATATAGCTCCAGCTTGACAAAATCTATTGGCTCCACCAGTTTTTTCATTTGTCGGAGAAACTATGTTACACTCCTTCATTAAGCTGCCACTCCTTTGACTGGCAAGGATTTCAGGAGCAACTGAATCTGCCCTTTGAAAGCTAACCAATTGTCTTTTATTTCTGCACTTGTGCTCCTCCTCTTCAGCTCCTTCACGCTCCCTTCTCTTTTTCAAGCACTTTTCACCTAATGCAGACCTACAAACTTCATCTCTGCAAGACGATTTCTCATTCTGCAGCTTGCTCAGACTTTGTTGTGGGGTTTGTTTATAACCCTCTGAAAACACATATGGAGGTATCTGCTTTCTACGAACATGATATATATACACTTCCATTCCCGGTATCCAATAACTATACATACTCACTTGATGCCGGAACTCATCAACTGTCCCACGCATATCAAATTGCTCAGTTTCTTGAGTGACCTCCCCTTGTTTCCTCTGCAATCCTATAAAGAAGGAACCATGGGCACACTGTTTGAACGAATCTCTGTATTCCTGAGGATGAGGATGGCACTGCAATTTCCCATTTGTGTCCCGCTCTACCTGTAAATATTGATACAAGATATATATGTATTTTTTATTCAAAGCATGCATAAAAGCAATTAGAGGCCAAAGTCAAAGATTGTCAAAGCCACTGCAACAACTTAAAGGAATAGGCATTACCATCAAAGTCAACTGCCTTAACCTGGACTCAATCCGGCCTTTCCAAACAAGGAAGTCATCCATGTTGGCTGCAATTACATCAATTTGCAGAAAACTTTTATAGTTTTCAAAGAACAAGTAATCTTCAAACAAATCACCCCAATGCGCTTTATTCAGCTCAATTTCCTACACATAGAGAATGTAAGAACTAAGAAAGTAGAATACAGAATATATAGCTAGCATTAACTTATTATTTCATTAGCAGTTATACTTCAAAGCAAAACAGTGAAAAGCTAAGTCGTTCCAACCTCACAGATTCTTTTGCCAATCTGGATCTGCTCGGTCAAAATCCGAAGTGTACTTGCTGAGACATTGTAGCTAGAATTCATGCATGGATACGCTGGTGTTATAATTGCCATCTGATGTATTCTGTCCCAATGGTTTTTACGAGGATCCCATACTGAAAATCCAAGCTCAAAATCCTCTATTTCACAAAGCATCAAGGGATTTGACCATCTCCACAAAGTATAAACCCGGTAGAACCGAGAAACGAGCATACTAGGAGATGCATTGGGATACAGTTGACACACTCGAGCAACAAGAAGAGCCCAATTTATACCTCCAAGAAATCCAATCATCTGAATGACCATAAGCACCCAACACCCACCAAGAAAAGTAAAATTGTATTAAGGAGAGACAGAAAATGGCAAAAGGAAAGATGTCAATACTCAAAATAAAAGCAGGGGAAAAGATAATATGAAAAAGACTCACATTTGAATAAATGCCACGTTTATGAGCCCAAAACTTCACACATCGTAGAGTTGTCCTGAAATTCTAGAGTTCAGAAGTTCGAGATTAGTTCTATGGACATTTTTAAAAAAAAATGACTCATTGTTTTATTTCCCATTTCAGGATCAACATTCATATTTATAGAAAATTACCTCAACATTTGGAACAAGCTTGAGAATTTTATCAGCAACCCTGCATCCATTAAGGCTCCGTGCCGTTGGCTCATCAACATTGTACAACACAGACACATTGGATATGTCCAAATTCTGTTCACAATTAAGAACCACATAGCATAAGTACAAACATAACAGGCTGCAAAGTGCAATTCATATTGAAAGAAATTCTATAATGTGCTATCCTCAATAAACCAATCTGAAAACTACAGTAAATAGATTAGGGCATGTTCAATAAATAGAAAATTTTGGAAAAAAAAAAAAAAAAACAAACAAAACAAAACAAAATGGAAAAATAAAAAGTAAAAGGGGGAAAGGGTAGTTTTTTCTTTCTCCAAAGTGGAAAAGCTCCCTTGTTTTCCAATATAAAAGTTGGAAAACACAGGCAAACTGGCCTGTGTTATGTAATATAATCCAGGTGTTTTGCCTGAACTTACAATAGAAATTTAAACAAACAATACTACTTAAACTATCCACCAACAAAAATAAAAACTTACATCAGGTACAACCAGTAGAGAAATACTGGCATACAGGAGATCAATCGATACACCATCAAACTTCAATTTCATAACTGGGACATGCGCATCTGGTACGCTGCGCAATTCAGTGACTTCTTTCATTCCCGCAAAAATTTTGTGCAGTATAAAGAAGAAATCTTCCTGAAAAAGAGGACAGAGAGTCAAATAGAAACCTTAACCCAGATGCCCAGCTTCAGAGTACACACTGGAACTTACCTCCCGGTTCACATATGAAGGACCAACACATAGTGCATCTATATCTGCTCCAGGCCCATGCACCTGTAGAACAATGATCTTATGGTAAGTTAAGCAAAATAAATAAGTGTGCACGCACGTACTCAAAAAAGAATGCCATGGAGAGTGAAACACTGAAGGAAGCTCCTTACTCCAAGTCGATAAGAACCAAACGTGTGAAGCACAGCATTTGCATCCTCAACCACCCGATCACTGTATCCTCTCAATCGTGTGAGTCCCTTGACCCAGTCCTTCAAAATCTTGACAACGGGACATGGGAGTGTAAGATAATATCTATAGATAGATATGAAGGCAAGATATGCTAAATGTCAAATAGATGGAAAAGATAGGGAATGCCTACTTTTGAGTACCTAAATTATATAGTGCAGATCACGGTTTTCCTTTAATAATTTGTTGACTTGCAATATACTTATGGACATTAAATAATAGATTAGATGACACAAACCCCACTTCTCATTCTATCCAATATATTATAAATACTTTTTTGTGTGTGAATCTTTATTTATTTTTTAATGTTTTGTTGATAAATTGTATGCATGTAAAATCTTTCAGGAACTAAAGATAGAAGATTAATACCAAGTTATTTAATATTTTAATCAAATTCTTTTTATTATCAAAATTGTTTACATTGATTAAGGGTTAGCCAATGGAACTGTTTCTTCAACTTTAAAAACCCCTTTCTTTCCATTTATGGATTCGTAAATACAATGATGAATCTATGCATTAAAAAAACTACTTTGTCCCATAGTTTATGACAATGACGTATGGTATAGTTTATGATTGCAAATTATAATAATCCATAATCTACTCCAAGTTACTTGTGAAATAAAACCAAAAACTGTGTAAAAAGGGATTATTTAACCGATCATCCCAATAGTAATTAAATTCTACGTTAAGTTTTATCAAACGCCCCATTAATTAAAACGATTATACTATACCTGTTTCAGGCGGGAAAGAACATGTTCTCTTTTGGCAGTCTCTTCGGCACTCTCGTACAGGCCAGAATCTTCCAAAAACTGAGAAAACGGCATCGTTGAATCAAGAACGCATCAGAAAAGGGGGGAGAAATATACAGCGAATAGCATCTCAATTGAGGGGGGGAACAGAAAAGCCGTACCTTTTCCAACTCCTTAGTTCTGCGAATATCAGCGTCGGTGGGTCCCGAGAGAGACAACGGCTTTGTCACACCGTACTGTTTCGGTATCGGCGGCGGCAGTGACGGCGAATCACTCGAACTATCCGAAGTAACCATCTTTCCTTGACCCTCTCAAGTGATCTCCAAAAAGAAGAAAAGAAAACCAATGCTCAATCTCACGAAGGAGGCCAACCAAAATCTAAAAGTAATATTCCGAGAATCGAAACCCTAGTATATTTCACAAATCTTCGTATCAGGAACGAACATATAAAAGAAAGAATTTAGGAAATCGAATTTTGAATTCTATTGGGAATAGGAACGTGAGATTTTATTTTATTTTTTTCTAAAAGATATAATAAAGGTCCTCCGCGTTTTGTTTCGTTTTTTTTTTTTTTTTTTTTCAATTTATATATACTAATAATAATAATAATAATAATTTTCCCCTTTTCACATAGGCAATTACGTGTAATGTCTATTTTTTTCTTTTTTCTAAAAAAAAAAAAACTGTTAGAATAATCACATATATTTTGTTAGAATTTTTAGCTTAAAAAGACATTAAGTGACTATTTTATGGTACAAATATATATGGAGTTCGGATTTTCTATTTGTGGTCGGGTCAAAGTAGATTCGCATTCTCTGATGAATTGATTCTCAAAGTATATCAATTTGAGTTGAAAAATAAAGGTGAAAATGTTTTGAAAAAAGTACTTGCCTCACATTGATTTTGGAAGTAGATTTGCATCGCTATATATACAATATCCTTTTAGAAGAAAGTTGAATTGTATAAAATACTAGATTGTTGGCATTATTAGTTCCAATTTATTTTAAAGAATTAAAGTGCACGTTCTGGAAGTATTAATTCCAATTTATTTTTTTAGTGCCAAGTGTTAATGTTACTAATTTCCACATCTCCTATAGTCTTATATAAGCTTTGGTGTTGGGCATATGATTTCCCTGTTGCGTTAACCTTCAAAACTTTGTTTTCTCTCTTCATCTCTTAATTACCTTCTCTTAAGAAAATTTTGCCAACACTACCGTAGAAAGTCAGAGTGTTTGGTCTTTTTTTTTTTTTTTTTTTTTTTTTCCGTAGGACTTTAATTTATGTTTGAGTATTCAAGCACTAAATTCATAATCCATTTTATCTTGAGATACTGACGCTACACACTCCTAACACCATTGGAGTGTGTGTTACACACGACTCATATTTCTCATCTTTCTCCATTCTTATTCCTTGGGTTTATATTAAAAATTATAAAATCCTTTATATATATATATATATATATATATATATATATATATATATATATATATAAATCCCTAAAGTTAAATCCTTATTGTTTAGAATTTGGCTCAAGACTCATTATGTTCAGTTCATTTAAAATGAACATTGAAGTTATTTGTGAAGTTATGGTGTATGTTTAAGATTCCAAATTTTATGGACTTAGACCTTCGGTTTATTGTCTAAGTTATTGGAATGCTTCTGTGACTATCTTTTGGCTATTTTTGATGAGTGGGAGTGGGAGTGACAGACGTGTCAACTCCAAACTCTTAGCTGTTAGAGATAGTACTTAAATTTAACTTATAAAGAAGTCATGGAATATAGTTAGCATTATGCTAACATTAAGAGATCTCTACTTGAGGCATGTTTATAAAGTTTTAGGATCATACAATGTACTCTTTTATACAATTTGGATGCTTTTCTCCTTCAGTTGTGCACATAATGTATTTTGATATATATATATATATATATATATATATATATATATATATATATATATATATATATATGTTCCGTACCAAATTCTTCTTGGAATTAATTTTTCTAAAATTAAATTACATTTTTCGTGTAAATTCTAACCAAAAGTAGTATCTACTACTTATTACCATACCAACATCAAATAAGTATTTAGATAATTATTTTTAGACATACGCAAATTAAACATTAATTTTAATACCAACTATAATGAATTTCTCATATATAATATTGCATTGATATATTTTGAGTTATTTATTTAAATGCAAACATTTCATGTTAAATCAACACATGTAAAACTAGTAACTATGATAAAAGTAAATGAATCCAATGTCAAAAACTGTCATAAATTAAAATAAAGATATGTGAGAGAAGACATAATTAAAAACAATAAAGGAGTTAATTGTAATTAGAATAAAATAATTTGAATTGAATATGTTCATAAGCTTACAATCATCATCACTTTGCCCAAGCTGTAAATCACTACTTCTCAAATGGAAAGTTTGAAAAATCACTTTTGAGCAAAAGAGATTAAAGAAGTGGATCATATCAATGAGAGTAATTATTGTGAATGAGATGCATGCATGTATATATTGATTTTGAACCAAACAAGGCAGCAACTGCGATTACTTCAAATTTTTGAAAAACTAAACCATAATCTTTGCTACTTCTGGGCGGGGTGAAATGTCACAGCAACAGGGAAGGTTTTCTTCCCATTTGTTCAACTACCCACCAAGATTAGACACATACTATAATATAGTAAATATAATATATATTTAGAAAATAATGAATAAACCATTAATGTCCTCCTCCCCGCAATACAATTAAATTGGGTGTTTGGTAGAGAGGAATTGCAATTCCTTCCCCACTTAATTTTAAGAAGTGGAAAGTTTCAGAATTTGATTGAGAAGAATTGCAAATCTCACATCTCCTAGGAATTGCGGGCAATTTCATAATACATGGGAAGATAACCTGGAGGGTGTACTTGAGTGAAAGGGACTCATCCATCCTTAACCAACAGTCAAGGATTCGATCATTGACTTTGGGAATGGAGTAGCCTTAAATCTCCAGACTAATTTTTAAGTTTGATCGTGTAACAAGCCGAATTCCCTTCCTTTCCTCGACAAACTAACCAAAAAAAACCGTTTCGTTGAGAAATCCTTTCTACCACTTCAAAACTTCGTTCTTGATACCTTCTTCCAATTGATTCCGTACGAAGTAACAACCTTATTCCCTAGATTACAATTTTAATCCCTTAAATCTCCAGACCAGCTGTCTCACTCGAAAGATGTGCCTACAATATAATTCAGCGAGGGGATTAGTCACTGTGTTCGACAGTGGAAACCCTGGGTATACCAAAAACAAAAAAATAAAATAATACATGGGAAGATAGTTTGAAGTGTGATGACCAAATTGCCCTCCATAATAATTATACATACATCTTTAATTTCCGTAAGAACTGTAATTACATGGACATTTTGATTTTATATTACTTATTATTCCCTTTTAATTCTCTTATATTCCAAACACTATAATTTAAATGATCAGTAGTACAATTTTATTCAGACTTACCAACCAATTGAATTTGAATTTATACTTTATTCTTACATTATTCATTTTTCACGAAATTACAATTTATTTTCCACTAACTAATTCTCTCCTTGAAACCAAACGGGGTGTTTGTTTTTGTGCAGAAAGGTAAAAGTAGACAAAGTGAATATAAGACACGGAAGGCCGGAGCCAAACCAGAAAAATGTTTGTATACTCATAGCTAGGCTAGGCTCCTAGTAACGGGAAGTACAAAAGAGAGAAGCCACAAAAACACGTACAAGCACTCATATTCACTCTATGATAGGTTGGCTGCCTCACCTACAAATTAATAGCTTTATCTGAAACATCACCTTTGGATTAATTTTGAATCCAATACAAACTACTTTGAGTGGCCAAAAGTCTGGATGGTTATATGGTTCTGTTAGAGCGTAAAGTTCCTTTCGTTATCAAACACTGCATGCACAGTACTCCCAAAATCATGTAACAAAACTATAGTGCACGACAGGTACGTTTCTTCTTTAAAATAATGTTACGTACATATATATGTCGCAGGGGAAAAAGTTTTTGTTTTTTTTTTTTTTTTTTTTTAAATAATGGTGGGAAAGCTTATTGACTTTTACTATTTGGTAGTCACCACATGCACGATCGAGAAATAAAGTGTTAATATAAGAGTTTTGTTTGAAATAACGATACTAGTTATTGATGAGGTCTTATTATTATTATTTGAAAATATTGAGTCCTTATTTAATTAACTTTGCATGATTTGGGATGAATAGAGAACTTACATTCACTACTTAAGAGTGTGTTCATATGTAATATCTTACAAACTACCAAAGAAAAGATTGGTAAATCACACTAAGATTGGAAGACCTTGCAGAGTACAATATGTTTGACAAAAAAAGTGTTGGCAAGAACTAAATTCAAGATCTTTTAGTATGATAATCATATTTTATCTACTTGATCATTCATTTTGAGGCCCGTTGCAAGAATTTTTGAAGTTAGAATCTCTTGATCATAGGCTAGGTTTAAATAAATAAATTAAAATCTTTTATATAGGAACAAGCAGAATTTATTATATTGTATGGCAGTAGGCAAATTATTGTGTGGACCATGATCCACACAATGTTATATGGACCATAACAAAAAGTACATTTTTAATATACTAAATGTATATTATTAAACACCACTTCAGGAAAAATAAAGAGACAAAATCTAGATCTTAAGATTACTAAAAAAAAAATTTTGAGCCATACGTCTAAACCCCAAGTATAACTCGAAAGTTAAACACATCAATTTTCCTATTTATTATATGAAAAATAAATTATAAACCCTAACTCAGGGCGGAGAGAGACAAAGGTAGTTCAAACCTCACAGATACTCATTAATAATGGATTGGAAGAATTGGACATGCGTTACAGACCTTAATAATGGATTGGAAGAGTTAGATAGTTGTAGTAAATAATTCTGTCTTTTCCTCTTAACATTATTCACCAAATTCCTCACCCAGGCCTCCACACTTCAATCAGATAAAATTATAGAGGGATAAATTGAATTGATTCAGTTATGTCTCTCAAATAAAAAGATTAATATATGGTGCTGATCACAAGTAGTCCACAATATTTGGTGAAACTTCCACCTGCATGCTATTGTCAAGTTTTATTTGATCCTAAATTATCACCCTCAATTTATCATTTAAGTACCAATTAAGTTATCTCGTAGCATAATTTCATGGTCAAAAGATTGAATGTGAGTTCAAATCTTCAATGAACCGCGGGATCGAAAAATCTCAATTTTGAAAAAAGAAAACAAGCACTCAGACTCTCTCTTACTGAAATACGTACACCTCACGATTTACCTTTTCTCATAGTCTCCTAACCAGACAAGTAAACTAGTAAAAACCTAAGCCAGGTGGATTTCCTCTAAAAACACTACAGCGCAGCTACCAATGCAGCATGCATCTTCCGCAGGAAAAGATAGTGAAAAAGAAACCACTAAAGAAAGCTCAATGAAAGAGCTACATACTGAGATATGGAGGACCAGTACTATAGTGTACTACCCAAACAGGCCGGAAAACCCTTGCGTTACAACCGAAGTTGGGTGAAAACGGAGGCACTATTGCTTGTAATTAAGTGGCTTTAATGGTTAGCTGCAGGGAGAAATCATTAGTATCCTCTGGAACCCCACTTTGGATTTTATGTAATAAATTAAAAAGCTTTGAAAGGGAGGTTCTACCCTCGTACGGATGGGGAAAAAGACTGGTAATAATGGTAGTGTTGAGTCTTACCACCACATACATGCATACACTGTCATTATAACGTAACAAGAAAGGCTGGTTCTTAGAATAATATATAGTATAGTATGGTTCACGAGGGCTGTGTCAGGCCGCCAGCCGCTCAGACCTGTGCTGACGTTGTGGGCGGTGGTGGCCTTGTGGACCATACTTTATGCCCACTGCCCACTGCCATGTCTGCACTATGCTCCTCTCCATTTTTTTGTATACTCGCAAAATTATGTGTCTGGAATTAATAATTTATATGCATTGTAAACAAATTAGAGTCACGTAACATAATAATTACATGTACATACATAATAACTGTATATACATAAGTTGTTAACTGCTGACATATAAGATGTGTAGTTAACATGTTATGTGTCTGCACTTAACAGTTTATGTATATGTAGTTATCATATTATTTGCAATTAGGTTGGACTCATTACTCTCTCATTCTTCTTTCAAAAGGTTAATTGAATATGTAATTCTGGTCCGATAGAGCATTTGAGATGATATAAATCACGGTGACTCAATAAGTTAACAGAGTCAAATGTCGATGCATGTACACACTGTCATTTCTGAAGTTCGAACATCTCTTCTCCTAAATATTACATACTGAATCATTAAGTTAAACCGGTGTCCACTCATTGCTGTCTCATTCTCTATCTATGACACGTTGCTCCAGAAAGTTAGAGAGGAAAAGCCTAATTTTACTTTGTGCTTTTCAAGAGAGATCTGTTGAACACGACAATCGGTGCTAATTCTCCACTTCCTTGGTAACAACTTATTAATTTACCACTCACCTTTTACAAGTGGTATGTAGTGGATGCTTTATAGTAATGGAGAGAACCACTTTTTATATCTTAGGGGGCGTTTGGTTCAGGTTATATAACATAATCAAGGGAACGTGACATTCCAAAGTTCACATAACAGTGTTTGGTTCATATTATCTTAGGGAATGTAACATTCCCAAGGAATGTCACATTCCCTCCACATAGGATTTTGAAGGGAATGTGATTCCCTTCAAAATCTTAGGTAATGTAAGATAACTTTGGTTATGTTAGTTTATTTTATATATATATATATATATATATATATATATATATATATATATATAATTATTTTTGTAATTATATATTTTTTAATTTTTATTATGTTATGTTAGCATATAAAATAATTTTGTTTCTCAAGTTCAAAATTTTAGAGTTAATATTTTAAAATCATGTAATTATATATGATACCGTTATCTTATTTATTTATTTTAATTTTTAAATTTATTAAAATATATGAAAATATGTTAAGGATATTATAGTGTGTATAAAAGATAACCCTAAACCAAACATGATTATATTACATACTCCAATTTTAACCAAACACAGGAATCTAACATTCCCAGTAATCTAACATTCCCAGCAATCTAACATTCCCTAAGGTAATCTGACATTCCGTGAACCAAACGGCCCCTTATAGTGATAAAAGTTAACGGAGTGTATTATACTATGATTAAAGGTTTTCATGATTGGCAGTCATATCCAAATTCTCTTGATTCAAAGTTCTGTTAGGGAATTTTACTTTTTGTACCAAACGTGAAAACCATTTTTGTTTCTGAAACTCTTTTGTTTGCTCCTCACATCACTTTCAGTAAATTCTTATTCTTTTAATTGAAATTTCTATGACTGTTTTACTTACACCAATCTTAATTCATCTAAACATTATTCAAAGAAAAATAAAATAAGTGAATTAGGCTCTTCTAAAAACATCCTTAAAATTCATATCACCAATCTTGTATATATAATAGAGGGGAAGGCCAAATACCTTGATGACTGTGATTCTCTTAAATGGAAGGTCACAGGTTTGACTTCAGTGGGGACATTAACTCTTTGTGTTTTATTAGGTTGAAAAAGTATATATAGATATATACTACATTGTAATAGAGTAAGCAGTAAAAAAAAAAAAAAAAAAAGGAAATGATCAACTTAGTGTGTACATGAATTCATATAAATAAATAGTAGTCGCAGGTTGCGGTCGGAGGAAGTGGAGAAATTGAAGGAGTGGTTGTTCGAAAGTTGGTTTCAGTAAAAGCTTCGGTCTTTTCTTCTCCATTTTTTTTACAGGTTTGTTGAGTTTCTTGAAGGTGACAAGTATCAATTGCATTTTTATTATTCAAATAATTTCTTCTTCTTTTTTTTTTTCAAAAATTTTCTTATTAAATTATTTTGAAAGTGTTATTCCTCGCTGCACCCCCTTTGTCCTACTCATAGCCCTTCACGAGTTGCGCCAGTAAAATATGATTCCTAAATCAAAATAGTTTTATAATTTATTATTATTATTTTTGAAAAATCTGAGATGAGTGTTATTTTAAGGTTTAAGTGCCCCTGTTTTCTGTGCTTACATGCTCTGCTTGTTCTCCGTTTGCAGGGAGATTGGCGTTTTCTTTTTGCGGTGGAAATGGGGAAAGCTGCGAGATGGTTGAGGGGTTTGCTGGGGATGAAGAAAGACAAGGAGAGTGTGGGGAAGTTTTCCAGTTTTTCCGATAAGAAAGAGAAGAAAAGATGGAGTCTTGGCGGCGGGACGAGTAAAGATTCCGGAGGTTTGGGGGCGGCGGATTCGGAAAAGGAACAACAGAACAGCCACGCCATTGCGGTGGCTGCCGCCACCGCCGCCGCTGCTGATGCCGCTATGGCGGCGGCACAGGCGGCCGTGGCGGTGGTCAGGCTCACCAGCCGGGGCAGGGGTGCTCTGTTCGTTACGCAGCGGGAGAACTGGGCTGCCCTGAAAATTCAATCTGTTTTCAGGGGTTATTTGGTAAGCTCCGTTCTTCTTCACCGCTCGTTAATATTCAAACAACGTTATCAATGTTTGTTGTTAAGATTTTGATTACAGATAACAGATCCAGGATGTTTCATTTCATCTGAATTTGGGTAAAAAATAATTGCAGGCCAGAAAAGCGCTGAGAGCTCTGAGAGGATTAGTGAAGTTACAGGCTCATGTTAGGGGATACCTCGTTAGAAAAAGAGCCGCCGCCACTCTTCTCAGCATGCAAGCTCTCATCAGAGCTCAGGCCGCCGTCCGATCTCAAAGAATCCGCTACAACCCCAGATTCCAAGCCCAAACCCAACCTAGGAAGTTCCCCGTAAGAATCCAGATCAAAAAATCAAGAAATATTACATAATAAGAAACATTATATATATATATATATATATATATATATATATATATATATATATATATATATATATATATATATATATATATATATATTATTATTATTATTTTTTTTTTGTGTTGCAGGAGAGATATGATGAATGCAGAAGTGCAGCACAGAGCAAGAGGATCTCAGCTTCATACGAATCATCGTTCAACGGGATGGATGAGAGCCCGAGGATCGTGGAAATCGACACCTACAAGCTGAGATCAATGTCGCGTAGAATCAACAGCGCCGCCGCAGCCATTTACAGTTCCGGGAATGAGTCAGACTGGAGTTTCGTCGGCGAAGAGTGGAAGTTCCCGACGACGGCCCAAAGCACTCCGCGGGGCGGCGCTCCGGCGAGGAGCGTATGCGGGGATAGCTTATTCTTCCGGCCATACTCAAACTTTCCGGGTTACATGGAGAAAACGGAGTCGTTCCGGGCGAAGCAGAGGTCGGTGAGCGCTCCGAAGCAGAGACCGCCGGAGGCGGGTAGAAGGAGGGTTTCGCTTGGGGATATTATGGCGTCGAGAAGTAGCTCCAGCGGCGGTAGAATGCAGCGGTCTTGTTCTCAAGTTCAAAAACACCATGCTTTCTGATGAGTCGTCATTATTGCACAGTAACGTATAGAGAATTTAATTTAAACACACTTTTTTTTTTTATTAAAAAAAAAAAAATCACTTTGGTTTGCCACAAAATCATGTTTGATATTGATAAGATTTTAATGGAGAAATTAATATCATTTGAATATTTTTTTGAGAGGAATGTAATTTGAATTCTGAAAGAGACTTATAACTTATTATTCTTTTCTCAATGTGAAGAGTAGAAGAAAATGTGGCAAATTTTTCTGGGATTAGGTCTTGATTGGGAGGAGAGTTGGTTTGGGTTGGTACTTGGTACCCCTGCCCTTAGGCGACTTTATTTATTTCTTCCTGATTTTTGCAGTAATAAATTGGCTCTGTTTACATTTATAATCATTAATCACAAAATAAATATTTTATAGTCCAAGTCAAATTTATGGAAGTATATTTGGTTTACATGCAATTAATGACAACCAGAATGTAATAAAGGGGGGAAAATTACAAAAAATACTACTTGTACTCAAAAAATTTACTCTCAATTTTTACTTTTATAAGTGTTCAAATTTTATTGGAGGAAAGAAAAAAAAAAAGAATAAAAATCACGCAAATTATCATGTGAACTGAACCTTTTAAAAATTCACAATTTGTATACTACGAACACATATATGTAATTAATTACATTGTTTTGTATTCACAAATTCTTTTCAAATATGCTGTCACACAATATTAACGGATTATAATTTGATGACCATGTATTGTATTATGTGTTTTGACTTATAAACACAATTTATATTCTAGAAAGTCACAATTCTAATACTAAAAATACACAATTTAGACGTTGTTTAGGACCATGGTCCACCTTGTAAGGTGGTCCCTGGTCCATGGTATAACAACTCTAAAAATATGACCCCCTCATATTAAACAATCAAAACATGTTACATTATAGAGATTAAAAAATGAAATTATAAAATAGGAGTACATGTAGAATTACTCAAAAATTATTCTCATCTCCACGAAAATTGCAATAAAAATGCAAATCATTTTTTAGTACACTCTAACTTATCAATTATATATATATATATATATATATATATATATATATATATATATATATATATATATAGTGAAGTTTTAATTATGTGGCCATTATTTAGTAGTGGTTTGTAAGAAAATATATATTTGTATGGAGTATTATATTGTAGTATTGTACAATTGTTAGATGAATGAAAGATTTTTCTGTAATTTGTTTGAGTACTCTATATTACATTTTTCAATTTTCTTTCTCTATTATCCTTTCTATCTCTCTGGCGTAGACTCTACCAAAGATCAAATCTTAAAGATTAACAAACAATCTACAACATATTTAACATTTATATCAATCATGATTAGAATGGAACTCAAACCATCAATATGAAAATAACATGATATTATCAAATCATGGTGTACTTTGTTCAAACTCTTAATCATCTCTATTGACTATCGGACAAAAGAAAACTTCAATGAATATTTTGATGGTTTGGACTGTGTTTGACAACACTTAATGATTTTTAAGTGTTTATTTTTTAAGCTATTATTAAGTTATAAACCTTAAATCTTTGCTTTGTGCGTGTTAGAATAATAAACATTTTGAGGTAAGATAATATATTTTATAAGTTAGAATAATGTATTGTATATTTGTTTAGAATAATGAAATTTCTGGAGTAAGGTAATGTATTTTATAAGTTAAAATAACGTACTTAATGTGTTAGAATAATGTATTGTATGTATTATAATAATGTATTTTATGGGTTAGAATAAGAGCAATCCCAATAGGGAGATTGTTCATGAAATTTGAGAAAAAAATAGTGAGTTGGAGGAGGGAGAGGAAGGGAGTTCCTCTTGCAAATTGGAGGTTTGTGTGGGCCCATTATGAGAGAGAAAATTATAGCAAGGCCAAAGAAACGCGCGTTTCGCGCGCAGATTCTGCCAGCCACGCGCGCCAGTTGGCGCGTTTAACTACATGTTTATTGATATAAAACACAGCCTATATATAATACATGGAGGAGTGTAGATAGTAGGAAGTTACAACCAAATATAACTAGTCTACAGGAGCACAAATAGAATAAGTAACAAGATATTCTAGTCACATATTGGCTTAAGAATCTTTATCCTACATGGTTTCTTAATTCTTGTGCAAAAAATCTATTGAAGATGCCCTAATAGTTGGGTTTTTTTCTAGTTTTTTGTAGGCCCCAACATCCAACTCATCATCCACTACCTTACCCAATCACAAAAACCATTCGTTCCACATTAGTTTGAATTTTTTTTCTCAATTTTGTGTGGATCCATCATTTTACTATTCTATATTTTAAATAATTATGTAGTTATTTGAATTCTAAAAGTTATAATTGTAATTAGAATTATAAAATTGATCCAATGTTATTGATAATTATAAATTTAATAATATTATTATTGATAATTATAAAAAAAAATTAATTAATAATTATAAATTTAATAAATAAAAATAAAAAATAATTTTAATAAATTTATCAAAGTATATTAAATAAATAATTAAATAACTGGCAAATGCAACGGCCAGTGTTTTAAAATAAAATAAAAAAATAGCGGTCACACTGAATCGTCCAAGCGAGCACGTGCGTTGAGTGGTCCGTGAGCGCAAACCAATCACCTTTTTATAAATTAAAAAAAATCTCCTGCAAAAAACCAATCCACCAAAATTTAACCATCCCATTATATAAAAACCCTCTTCTTAGTTTTTTAGTGCTCTAAAAATCATTAAAAAAAATATGCTACTAGAGATGCTCCTATGTGTTAGAATAATGTACTTTATATGTTTTTTGATTGTGGTCCACACAATAGTGATTAAGCTAATACAATATAGATTACATTAAGATTTTAAATAAATACTACAATGTAATAGAGTCAGTAGCATTAAAAAATAATAATAATAAGATTAAGACTTCTACCTTTCAAAAAAAAAAAAAAAAGAGATTAAGACTTATAATGGGCTGCCCCCCTAAGGGCCCCAAATAATAAGAAATAAGTCCAAAATGTAATGTTGAAAATTAAGGCAAATTATTGTGTGGGTCATAGTCCACATAGTCCTACGTGAACTATAACAAAAAGTACATTTTTAATATACTAAATATACATTATTTGAGTATTGAATGTATATTATACAAAATAATGTACTTTTAGTATTCAAATAATATACTTTCTCTAAATACAATATACATATAAAATATGGCCAACACAATAATGATTGGAAAATTAAAGGGGCTTCTTGAAATTCAAGTTGCAATTAGAACAATCATAATCTCTGCAAAAGCCTTAAAGGGCTTGATCCAAAACATATTAGAAACCACTCACCAGTTTGAAAACTTGGGCTTAATATAAGTCTTGCATGGCCTCTTCTACATTTTTCATAATCTATATACGCACAATTCTCAAGGGATAGTTATGACATGAATCCAGGTACAATCGTTATGCTGTGCATCCGTATGCACCATGCATGGTGCATACGGATGCCAAAACGACGTCATTTTATTAAAAAACACGCGTCTCCCCTTTAAAAAAAAAAATCAAATTCGATTCCCAGCAACAACATTATATTGTTTATTCATTCTGGAATTTTAGTTCATAGATTATGAAATTATAGTTCATTGATTATGGAATTATAGTTCATCGATTATGGAATTGTAGTTCATCGATTTTGAAATTTTAGTTTATAGATTATGGAATTTTAGTTCATTCATTCTGAAATTTTTAGTTCATAGATTAGATTATGGAATTATAGTTCATCGATTATGGAATTATAGTTCATCGATTATGGAGTTATAGTTCATCGATTATGGAAGTTTAGTTCATATGTTGTTGTTGGGAATCGAACTTGATTTTTTTTTAAGGGGAGACGTGCGTTTTATTAAAACGACGTCGTTTTTGCATCCGTATGCACCATGCATGGTGCATACGGATGCACAACATAATTTGCCATCCAGGTACACCTTGTAAGATAGATCTGAGTCAAAATACATAATTTATATACTGAATGTTCATAATTTGAATTGTGAATATTTAGTATGTAAACTGTGAACATTCAGTATATAAAATTGTGAACATTCAGTATGTAAATTGTGAACATTTAGTATATATAAAAATTATGAACATTCAGTATGTAAATTGTAAATATTCAGTATATAAATTGTGTATTTTTAGACCCGGATTCACAAAATAATTTGTCATTCTCATGTGTATATATTTTACCGTTTTGTTCCCTCGGCTATGGCGAAAGTACCAAATTAGTCATTGACTATCAATTTTGGCCAATTAAGTCATCAACTGTTGATTTTGTATCCGATTTGTTTCTTTGTCAGTTTGGTATTAAACTTACCGTCTCTTTTGATGACCAATTTGGTACTTTCGTCGTAGTTTAGGGACCAAAACGGTAATCAACTTATATTTATTTGTATATAAAAATATAAAATTGTTTAACTTAAGTACTTCCATTTTTTTGGAGTTGAATCTGTCTTTTGGGGGATGGATGATTTGATTTTGTTTTTGAAGGTGCACTGTGCAAAGGCACTAAAATTATCATTATCTGTCACATCATAATTAAAAGTGAGAGAGCAGAATTTGAGAGTACATATAGCAAAACAACTTTAATAAAGTACAAGTTGAAACCGACTCGTTGCTTGTGCTCCAAAATCTAAACGACACTCTGGATACATATTCTTTCCATCTTATTCTAAATGATATAAAAAACATGTTGAATGAATTTACTCATATAAGTTTAACTTTTAATTCGCTAGATGATTGGAGAACCGGGCATTGATCTCATGTATTAGCCAAGCAGTTTTTATGTCTAGTTGTTCGGAATGATTTTTAGACCTTTCATATTTTCTTTGTAATGTGTTACTTTTGGATATGAAATAATGAATCTGGTTCTTAAAAAAAAAATAGTAAACTCATAAATTATTTGATTTGAAGCACGTGATTGAAGACGTGCCATCAATTGCGTGCCCAGAGACAAATTGGCTTTAGTACATTCCTTCTGTCCTCATTAAACCTCCCAAAAATACCGTACATATGTTCCCCGTGAACCCCTGAACAAAATTCCAAAATGCCATTTTCAAATTATCTAGGCCCTCATTTTGTTCACATTCGAAACGACATTATTAGGCGGGAAACGAAACAAACATAAACGATGAGGGGTTATTCGTGTGTTCATGTTCGTGTTCGTTTGTTAAGGGTTTTTTTAAATCTTGTTCGTGTTCGTTTGTCAAGCGTTCATTAGTGTTTGTTAACGTTCGCGAACTCGTTCACGAACTTGTTTGTTAACAAGCACGTTTATGGACATATTCATTAATGTTTGTGAACATATTCGTTAACGTTCATAAACACATTCGTGAATGCTTAATAACAAAATATATAAACATGTTCATCATCACAATTCGTTTGTGAACAAGAAATAATCTATATTCACAAAAAATAATCAAACAAGTAACATAACTGCAAAGAAAATACAAACAAATATTAAACAAATTCAAATGAACTTAATAGGAAATGCAAACTAGGCCTTAATCTGCAGCCTCTGAACTACAGAACTAACAGGCTAATCTTATTTATTAATCTTATCGAAACTACTCATCAAGCAATGTAGTACATAGGATCCGGCAACTTGAAAGTACGCGCTCCGGCGTTATCCCCAAGCAAATCGCTCCACTGGTCGCCGATGTTTCCGATGATTCTGTACCCTTTCTTCACCAGCTCCGTCCTCTTCTTTGACTTGTACTCCACTGCTGTCCTCGTGTCATTTGCTCCCCTGAACCCATCATATATATAATCATTAGTCCATATATGTATCAAGCTAACATTCACAATTTTGGGAGGTTGCTAATTTGGTAACCAGTTTTACCCCGACATCGGTCATATTCTTATTAGTTTGGACCGATCAGCTACAAGCAACTTGGGCTGATTTAGCGTTTTTTGCTGGATTTACTCAATATATACAACTTCATATAGTGACTAAATACAGAATCTTAGATAATGACTGTCAGTTTTTCTGGTCAACCAAAAAAAAATTCACAGTTTTGGCATGCATGCATATATACATCAAATTAAGTGTTTGGATATATTATATTACTTTAGGATGAGCTTCTCCCAGTGGCTATAACCGGTTTTCTTGAGATTGGCGATTCTCACTTTTCTGAACTGTTGCTTTGTGCCGGAGAGGAAGACGGGCTTAATACCCAGAGACACCAGCGTTCTGTACAAACGCACGCCTCCGGGCACCGCCGGTGCCGTTCCTTCACTAACCCATGCATCAAACTTGGTGGCGTTATATGCTGTTGCCCTGCATGCATGAACCAATTAAAAGTTCAGAACGTATTTATATATATTTCCAACCAAAATCTCATTGAGAAAATATGGTTTCGGAATGGCGGGCCGGCGGCGTACCCGAAGGCGACGTCGGAGCGGGCGTAGTAGGGGAGGTTGGAGAGGGTGGTCTCCTCGATGTCGAACACCCAAATGTCCTTGCCGTCGTGGGCCAGCGTGGCGTTCTTGGCGTACTGGACGGCGGAGATGGCGACGGCGATGCAGTCGTCGCGGTACTGGTGGCCGAGCATGTAGTGGCCGACGTATTCTTCGCATTGCTGGGGGACCATTGCCCAGTCACGGATGTTGTTGGCCTCGACGCCGAGCCGCCAGCTCAGGCAGTTGACGCCGGGGATGTGGTGGCCGCCGCCGGCGGTGTGCGGCCGCAGACTGTGGATTTGGTTGGGGATGGAGTCTGCATGGGAAAATGTGGGTATGGTGGCTAGAAGCACGACGACCAACAGGAATGCTCTCATGGTTAGTTTTCTCTTCTTTATGATATAAGACGTAAGGGGGCAACATTCTATCTGTACAAGCTAGTTTAAATAAAGGCTCGATGTACCAAAATGTCCTTGCTTTTTTGCATAAATTACTAGTGGATCGGAGCCCCCATTTACCACAAAAAATATTATTCTTCCCGGAGCCCCTCTAGGGATGTCAACGGGGCGTGGTGGGGGCGGGGGACATACCCCCCATTCCTGTCCCCGACTTTTTCTCATTCCCCGTCCCCATCCCCATCCCCGCCGGGGAATGAAAAATTCCCCCCATCTCCATCTCCCCACGGGGATTATTCGGGGACGGGGAATTCCCACCCCGTTAATAAGTTATAAAAAAAATTAAAATTAAACATTAAAAAATATTTAAATAAATAACGCATATATATTCATCCCCAACTCAAAGTTGTATTCAATATTTTACAATTAAACATTTTATTTAAATATGCATGACATATAATGACAATAATACTTCTAAAATTATATATATTGTATACAAACTACAAAGTACTACATTTGTGTGTGTTGTGTGGCTATATATATATATATCGGGGGCGGGGCGGGGCGGGGAGAGTACTCCCCATCCCCGCCCCCGTCCCCGGCGGGGAATTCAAAATTGTCCCCGTCCCCATCCCCGATCCCCTATTTCTGTCCCCATCCCCGTCCCCGTAGGGGCGGGGAATCGGATTCCCCGTCGGGTGCGGGTTCAATTGACATCCCTAAGCCCCTCACTTTGAGAGGTTTTTCACACTGCTCTTGTGAGACTCCTATTACCAGAAGATCTCTGATAATTCTTCACAAATTTTACCCTTATGACGAGGTGAACTGCCATAAATAATATTACACTGCATTATGCTTGCATGACCAACTCAGTTGGTCAGAGGGATAAAGTTTGGAAACAATAATCCGAGATCAAGTCTTAGTTAGTCTCAGTGGGTGCCGAAGAGCTGGGGATTCAAGAGATAATAAGCATTTTTCTTATTTAATTTCTCTGGAAGTTTTGAAATGACTAGAAAGGTGGAACATAATTTTCGTATTTTGATAATGTGAATAAGAAATTTAGAAGGAAAAATAGCATTAATATAATCTTTTTTTTACCTGCTAATATGACTTATTCAGAGTGAATCATACTTGTTATTATATTATTTAATTTCTGTCCATAAAATCAAAACATCAACATTATCATTTTCCTTTTCTAATTGAGCATTCAATTCAATAATGTAATATATATTGGGTATAAAGTTATGATAAAAAAGTATTATTTCTCCTACTATGCGAAAAATGATCATTAAAAAAATGATTGTTATACAACGTGACATTACTACAAGTCTTAACAATTCGATCTTTTCATCATCAGTACCCAAAATCCATTATATAATCATTAATCAACAAGTATATATAATTTATTAGAGACCTTTTTTATTAAAAAAAAAAATAGTACATTATATATTTTTATGTTTATTTTTGTCGATATGAGTTACGAATTGTTCATTATTTGTTCTCCAATAAATGAGTTACCGTTGTATAAGAAACAAACAAGTTGGTGCATAAGGATAAGCTGCCATGCATCATCGGTCACGATTGCTGCATGAACCAGCCGTTACTATTCCTTCGATAAAATTTGAAAAATCTCTCCAAGTCAAAGCTTCACTTTGATTATTTCCGAGTTCACGTGTCATACATGTTTTATTAGGGGGAAAAAGAAGAAGAAGAAGAAATAAGATGTAACATTTTTTTATTTTAAATATCACTCAAAGTAGGAGGTACGTACAAGTACGGTCCTATCATTTTATAAGTCTGGGGCGTAACAACAAAAATAAACCCTACATGAAATTAATACATATTTTTATAATTAAATCAATTAAATATATATATATATATATATATATATATATATATATATATATATATATATATATATATATATATATATATATATATATATATATACTAATGTCAAATAATTTGAAATCAGATTTACAAATTTTTAACAAATTTAAATACAAAATGATAATCATGAAAACAATTATAGATACTTTCCTAATTAAATTCAAAATAATCAATAAACGCATCAATATCTTCACAAATAAAGAATTATAATTTATACTTTATAAAAACAAATAAACAATTTAAAATCAAATAAGCTTATAGACAATCACATTGTTATTGTTACTATAATACATAACAAATTATTATTAATAAAAATTTATAAAGCAAAACTTTACAAATAATAGCAGAGCATGAAATATCAATTATTGAAAGTAATAAATCAAAACACTTTAAAACTTGATAAAATATATTTAACAAAATATGAAACATAATTAATTGGATAAAATAGTTCAAATATAAAACACATTTTAAATCACACATCTTCTTGATATTATATTTATAAATATATTTTTTTTGTAGTTAAATCAATTTTAATTTTTTTAAAAAATTAATTTGAATACAATGATGCACAATAGAACTTCTAAGCTAAATATATATTAAATATTTATACCAAAATTTTATAGTATATATAGAAAGTGTCCGGATAATGGGGTGGTGGCCGGGCCCTGGGCCAGGGTCGGGCCTGGGTACGTGGATAGGTAGGGTTCTTGGCCCACCCCTAAATGTTTAATAACTATATGTATATATTATTATGATATGAATAATACTTTTTTGGTACTTTTGAATTTTATGAACTAAACATGTGATAAGTACTTTATCAATAGTATTTGAACTCTTTAGAACTCAAGAATAAGGGAAAATGACATTCCTCCACCCCCCCCCCCCCCCCCCCCCCCCCCCGAATTATAGACTTATACTCCGTAGCACTTTCTCCTCTTGAGTTATTCATTATCTACATTTGTCGTCCCCTCAATTATTTTAAAAGTAGCGATTTTTTCCCATTTTATGTTAAATGGACATCTTTACCCTTAAAATGATTATTTTTTCATTTATTTTTCTTCTCTAAGAGCATCCATATCAATTAGAAATTTTACATAATTTTTTAAGTGACGTGTAGGAGAGATAAAAATATACGAGAAAAATAAAAGTTAAAAACAAAAAAACAATCTCGCAGTTTATTAAAAAAAAAAAGAAAAAGGAATGGACAGTTTCTTCTTCCCACTCTGAAGCGCCCCAGTGGGCAGTGCACGCCTGCCATCATTTTTTTTTAATAATTTCTAACAAAAATTTTGTTCTTGCAGGAGTTAAATTTTCTATAAAACTTCATCCCACATCAGTTGTTTTCACACCAAATCAGTTTTTTCTCTTCTCAAAAACCCAACAAGAACCACTATTATGGATGCTCTAACAAATTATTCTTTATATGTAGGGATGACCACAATTTGTTTTGAACCGAACCGGATACTATAGCAACCGAACTGAAATAGTATGGACGGTTCTTGTTACGATTCAGAACTGAAAAAACAATTGTTGAATTTAAACTATTTTAAAACATAAAATATAATTCCCAAAAAAAAATTAAAAAAAATTGAACCGGCAGTTCAAACCAAAACTGGAATCATATTTAATTCAAATCGGAACTGATGGGGAATATATCCCGCGTTCAGGCTCTCCGTATGCTCCGTGCTCCTATTTGAATCGGGTCAAACGGTTCGGGTCAAGGTCAAACCCGACTTGGTTTGACCTATATAAGGGCACTTGACCCTCAATTTTGGGGGTCTGCCCTTCTTCCATTTTCCCCTCTCTCTCTACACTTAGAGAATACTCTTCCTTCTCTCTAAACATGCAAGAACAACATCAATAAACGAGATCCATTTGAGCTATTTCTTGGGTACTCTCTACATTGTTTATACATACAACATACATTTTACATACACCGGAATTATCCGTATCAGGAACCAAACATATTTATCATTTACAAATGGTGTTTACAAATATGTTTGGTTCTAGTTCGCGTTTATTATGATTCCAGTTTCGGTTTGAACCCCGGTTCAAAATTTTTTTATTTATTTATTTTTATAAATTCTATTTTATATTTTTAAAATAGTCTAAATTCAACCATTATTTTATTTTATTTTTTTCGATTCTGAATCATAACAAGGACCATCCCTACTATTTTAGTTCAGTTACTATAGGGTTCAGTTCGGTTCAAATTGATCAGTTACTATAATGTCTATTTATGGTGTTAGAATAACGACACATGCTAAATCATATGTCGACAAGTATGACATGATGACAATGTGGCTTTAGTAACTCAGGTCAATCATGACACGTGTTGATCTATGGTGTGACATTTGTAGCAAAGTTGGTGAGTGTGATTGTTCTGTAATCTCTTATTCATGTATTGGTGATTGCTTTCCTGCCACGTCAACAATATACACATTTTATTACCCTACCGTTTATGAATTTGTGTTTATGATTTCTCAAATAAGTATTGAAAATGAATTTAGAAATTTTGAGACAAATAAAAACTAGAAAATTGAAAATTTGGAAAGATTAAAAAAAAGCTGAAAAAATTAAAGTTTACATTTGCCTTTTGGGTGCATGGAAACATTTACTTTAATTTAACTTGTGTTATTTTATTAATAATTCAACTGCACAATTATGAACCAATCACATTATAAATGCGGTAGAAAATGCACTTTCTTTCGATTTTGTAAAATTTAATAACACTTTCAATCATCAACATAATAATCTTTACCAAAAAAAAAAAAAAAATCATCAACATAATAATGTCTTAACAAATTACTCCGTAAATTAATATTCTAACATACTTAACGAATAACGAGCTTTTGCATGTTTTCAAAAAAAAAAAAGCGCTTTTGCATGGATAGAAGAATTATATTATTAAAAATTAAAAGTCATTAAGCAAGCTCAGCTTTGTCAATATTCAATCTCCAATTGGCCCTCGCGCAGTCGTGCGTGCTTAATAGTCAAATCAAATTAATTAAAGCAAATCCTCCGACAGTCTTTATTCTTGTCGCCCCCCGCAAACATATCGCATAAAATATACTCCATAATTAATTAATGATATATTGTCGTTTAATTATGCTACCTATAACCTTGTGATTTAGTATTGTGAAATGG